TTTAATCGATATGCCGACGAGGGCAATAGAGTGACGACTCTTTTTTATTGAAACCAACGTATGGATATCTACAACAGCAATATGAATTCTACAACAGCAACATAGCCAGTTTATTGTACTTGTTCAGTATGATTGTATTGGAATTCATGTTTACTGTATTGACGTACGGATTTATTGTTTTATCGATATCTGCTTTATTGATTTGATCGGATTTATGGATTTACTGTATCGTACGGATTCATTGATTTCATTGATTGATCATTGAGCATGGATAATATTGATTATTGATTATTGACATTGATATGGATAGAATGACATAGTTTGTATAGACTTCATTGATATACTATTGATTCTGCATGTATTGATTGCTACAATTGATTTATTGATAGCATATATTGAGATTTATCGTATTGCTTTTCCGATTGATTTTATCAACTTAATAGTATAGATTTGCCTTGATTTTGATTGATTGATTTGACGGGATTGATTTGACGACGGATTGACTGATTTGACGGATTGATTGATTTCTTCTGTGTACGGATTTCTTCGAGATTGACGTGGATTGATTGAGCTTGGTTTTATATTGTGCCTGCTGCTGCATTGACTGATTTCATTGACTATGGATTTCCCGATTTGCATAGATTCATTGTTCACTGACTGATATGATTGATTGACTGACATGCATATTGATAGCATCGGCCGTGCTTTGATCTCAGTTATAGTATTAGGTGACCTGCTGGGCTTGTAAAGCTCATTTATGTGGTTGATATTTTCAGGTCAGGGCAAGGGAGCAGAAGATAGGAAATGATTCGGATCTTCAGGTTTTTATCTTTAATGATTTTGATTCTTTGTACTCAGGATAGATTTCAGTAGCTGTGATTGTAGTGTAGTTCCTGAGTATTGTACATGACCTTTTGAGATATGGATCGACTTGTATATTGATGTTTTAAATTTTATTATAGATGTTTGATAGACTGTTTAATTGAAGGTTTTTTAGATAGCTCTGATAAATTGATTGAGGAATTAATGAAATTCTTTCAAGTTAGATCTTGGGGCGTGACACAATTGATGGTGGCCAAATGATGATATACGAGTGTCGACAGATGTTTTCGGAAATAACTAAAAGATGATGGTGTGGACCTCGAAAGAGCACGTCGTGGGGTACGAACGTAGAGGGTACGGCCGCACTATCCCTGTGGGCAAAACGATCGCAGACCTCTACACTCGACAACGAACAGGTCGATGGGTATGGCAGATTGGATCTGATGCAACGACTGACCATTGGGTGATAGAGGCTGTCGCTGTAAATATATCAGTTTCTGCTAGTCCAGGTTCGGTCCTGACGAAGTCGGATCGTACGGGACGATCGGTACAGGTTGTGCAGAGAAAATCATGTTTGGCTGTTATGGTTCGTCTGGACGAAATCAGGATCGTCTGGACGAAAATAAGTCCGTGAACACCTTCGCCTAGGACGATATGACTTAAACTAATAGTAATTAATATAAATAACTATTAAATAACAATATAATAATAATTATACAAAAATAATAATTTAAATAAAAATAAAAAAAGGTTATTTTACTGTTTTATTAATAATTAAAAATATATTCATTATTTTTATAAAAAAAAATTTATAGGGTAGAGAATAAAAATACGAACAAAACGAGGTATTGTGCGTCAAAATCGGACGAAAAATGGATTTTTGGTGATTTTTTAAAGATTTCTGATCGAGGAAGCAAGTGGAAGGTAAGAGGAGCTCTCTCTTCAAAAATCTCGGGCTCAGGAGACTTGGAGAGGGAGCAATTAGCAAAAAGTCCCTATTTGGACAAGATTTTTCATATTTAAAGCCCCTAAACCTAATACCAACGGCTGAGATTAATTCCTGAGGTGATTTGGAGGGAAATAGGTCGGTTTTGTCCAAAGAATCGAATTCAAAACGAAGGGGCATTGATTGGGCATTAAATAGGCTCTTAAATCCACTTAATTGGGTGATTAAGGCCTATTTAGAGCCATGGTTGACCAAGTCCACGTTTGACTTGGTCAAACCAGTCAAGGGGGTCCATGGGGATGAGGGATTGCGCCGAGCTAAGGTCCAAGTGCATCCAAACTTGATTTGGGCTCTAAATGATCTAAGTGGTCAACCTTGGTTGACTTGGTCAACCGGGTTGACCCAGGGTCCAAGCTCGGGCTCAACAGACTTGACTCGACCCAACGAGCCTATTGGAGATGATCTTGGGGTCTAACTTGGTCAATTTGACCAAGTCAACCCTTTGACCAAGGGTCGGGGCAAAATCGAGGTCAACAGATGGGGATAGGCTATGGTGATCAGTCGACGATAATTAAACAATAGCGGTTTAGTGGTGGTAAACATCAGGCAAAGCTTTAAAATTCTTCGTCTTCAAGCTCTTTTTTATTTCAAGCCCTTTTCACATTGATAGATTGTTCATTCAATGATTAAGTATCTTATTGATCTCAAAACTAAGTGATATTGGATTTGTTAGATTCCTCTCATTCACATACTTATTATGACTATAAGCATCCAAAAATTAGAGATCCTTTTGTCTCTTGATGCCATAAAAATTAATCATGTTTCAAGTGTTTGATTTGAACTCAATTGAATTTGGATTAGATTACCTTGATATCATTGGATTTATCTCATCAAAACTTTCAATTCAACTATAGAGTTGCCAAAAATTGAAATTTTAGACGGTCGAGAATTTAACTTCTAATAGTTTTCAATTCAAATAGCACATTGAGATATGTGATTGATAAAACGATTTCTTTGATAGCATATCAATAATCAAAATACATGAAATTCAAATGCATTATATTGGTAGTACCTCTACCTTTTTATTGTAATTTGCATGCTAGGTTGTTTCTAATGAATGATGGGTGATATTGAATTTGTTGACCAAACTTAGAGCCAGATAGGTGGATACTATCATCGGGCATTTTATAAATGTGAATTTTTAATTGTTGGCTAAGCATTTTCCCTTTTTATTATATATGTGATATATTTTTACACGTGTTATTACTTATTATTTTTTGCTAGAGCTTTGTCTTTAAATGTATTTTTATGCCTTAGTTCTATTTTTTACCATCTATTTAATATATTTTTGTTATTTATTATACATTTTAAGCTAAGACTCTCAATACTAAAAAAAAATAGAGGATATGATAAACACATATAATTTAGAGGAGATCGAGTGCCATATGCAAGGTGATGGATGACAGAATGTTTTTATAGCCATTAGATGCTTGAGTGATATAAGGTATGAAGAGGTGATGTGCATGGTAAGGACCATTGATTACTAGAAATGTGAGGATGTGATAGAGTCACTGTAGTATGATGAGCATCCTACAAATGATTTTCAGAACTCCTCTCTATGGAACTCAATCACTGTCTCAGTTGTGTCATTTCTAGTTCAAGCTTTAGAGTAAATCTTTTGGTCCTCTCTTCATAATGGAATATATTACAATTAATATTATTCTAGAAATACATCTTCAATATGGAATATATGCACATATTTTTTGAACTTCTATTTATAGAGTTTAAAATGTAGAGGAAAATGCAATGTCCTTATTTTTTCATTTAATTTTGACCTTTGAACTACCTTGATGATTTAGTTAAGTGATTTCATTTATACTCCTAGGATGCTTAAGTATTAGCAGACAACTCTTCCTAATTAATTAGCCTGGGGAACAATAGACTCGATAACTTATCCAAGCTTTCCCAGCCATAATTCTTCAAATTAAATTGGCTTTAGCCCATTCTTCCTAAGTGATTTATCTAGCTCTGGTATGATAACCCACTTTTGTTCACCTGCCACTAGCCTATTGGTCCACTTTCTTTCATTAAACCTTAGCCTATCAACCCCATATTTGTTAAACTTGTTCCAATATGCTAGCCCATTTTTATTTGTCAAGCTTAGCTTATTAGTCTTCCTTCATTCACCCATCTCCAACTTTCTTGTTTGTTTTGGAAACCCTTACAAACAATTTATGTCATTCCTAAGTTACTACTCATACTTGCTCTCTAACAACCAACTCGCCTGCTAGTTAGCTGTCACACAAAAACTTACAAGTCATAAAACTTTCAACTATTAAAGTGTGTTGACCGTAGTTAAAGTTAACAGATTGAAACAAGTTTCCCACAACCTATCACATTAAAAATAGTTATTGCTTGTATGCAATTGTCCATGCTTGATAGGTGGTGCCGCATTGGTCTTCAATGCTATATGTTTGCTACCCATCATACTTAGTATTCATCTTTTGTTTATGTTATCAACGACAAATTTTTAACACATCTTGCATACTTGTTTTCTAGCTTATCACATATTTTATATTCTCAGAGTGCCTTAAAGTTCTTTCAACCTTCAAAATGATTGTTATTGGTATAGATTTTCATTAAGAACTATATATTACTCTTATGATCCCTCCTTTTTTATCGTATTTCTTGTCCTCTCTGCCAAGTCCCTCATCCTTAAAAAATTAAGATGATTTTCAAGCCTTCATTAGAGGAACTCACTTCCCATCTATATAAATGTGAGTTTCGAAATTTTGAGTATGATCACTTGCATTCATTAATTACTAAATATAGAAAATCACTTCAAAAAATCAATTGCAATAATTTTCAAACACTTATATGAGAAAAAGTAGCCCTAAATACATGCATAGTAGAGGGAAAAGTCGGTGAGAGAGAAAGGGAGAGAAATAATACAACTCAGCTAGGTTATACAACTTAAAAGAATTTCATACAAAGATAATACAAACATGATTATAACTATCAATATAAATCAAAATAATGAATATATTATTTCCCCATGTAGTCTATTTATTTAAAATTAGATTTTTCTTTCTAACAATAATATGGTAATGAACACACATACATATACTCTTTGTCTATTATTAATTATTCATCAAATATGTTTCCCATGCAACCAAAGAAAAGTCAAAAAATCTTATTATAATCACATTCATTATTAAAATCATATCATATGTTATTCTAAAGGATGAAGGATCAAAGGAACTCCTTGAGAAGGCCTCAAAGACAACATAATTCTTGGAGAGTGCACATAAGCTGGTGAAATAGACATTGTGAATTTGCATAGGATGAGACTTAAAACAATCTTGTACTCCATCAATGACAAGTTTCTTCCTATACAAATTCTCCCTCCAAATCCAAAAGGCAAGTATCCAATCCTATGCTTGCATCCACCATTAATGCTATCTTTAAACCTTTCTGGTTTGAACTCATTCACATCATCACCCCACAAATCTTTATCATGGTGCATTCCAACCACATCAATCCACATGTTGGTTCCCTTTTCCACTGTGATTTCATCAATGACTATTTCCTCTCTCGCCTGTCTTAGTGAGTTTGGGGCAGGTGAATACAATCGAAGAACCTCATTCCACACCCATCCCATCTGTCCATATCGTAAAATTAAAATATTAGTTATTTTAAAGAAGCATCTAGCTATGCACATAATTCAAAATAGTCAAAATCATGCGCTTATGTTGAACAATAATGCATCTAATATTCTCGAGTTAAGAAGATTTTTAGGTGAGTGTAGCCTTTATAAGTTTTTTAATGTTAGGTTATTATTTTTGCTTTATATTACTAAATATTATTATCATCTTGATTAGCACCAATACAGAGTACTAATAAAACAATCAAAATAATGATTTGATTTTTTTGCCATTACAACAAATTTAAGATTATTTGAACAGCAAGATTAAATAATATAATATAATATAATTGTTTATACTATTGAGCGTGTGAAAAAAAAAGTATCATTTTTTTATGATTGTGACCAAATAATTATCTTTAATTAGAAACATATTTAACCACAAATACAGTAATACACTATAAAATTACATTCTTGAATTAAAAATATTGAGTAAACATAAAGAATTATATTATTATTTTTTCTTACTCCAACTTTCTTACAACATGTTAAAAATATAAATTTAAATGATGCTATTTAAAAAATATATTACTAATGCACAAAATAATTATAGTAAGTTAATTTCACTAAATGTCTTCTCATATTGTTTTGGATGTATGATATTATTAACTATAAAAAAAAAAATGTTTTGGATGTGATTATTACGTGAGATCAAGCATCAGCACTGGATCAAAAATTCAAAATACACCAACACTATATCTATTGGAAAAGCTCGATATTGTCTACCTTTATTAGCTTTGGAAGCATATCAGAGTTTAAAGGCCTTCCTTCTGAAACCTCCATTATCTCCTCTCTCAGCAGCTTCTGCCATTCAGGATAAAGAGCCAACAACAGAAGCGTCCATGTCAGAGCTAGACCAGTGGTTTCATGGCCGCCGAAGAAGAATGTCTTGCACTCATCCACAAGCTCTCGTCTCGTTAGCTTCTTCTCATCCCTCGCCTCCTCCTCGTTCCCTGCAAATAGATCAAAATAAATCTCTTTTTTCATAAATTTGAGTACCGTTACTATTTTCATTCATCCATGGATCCACTCAATATCACCCTACCTGCAAGCAAAAGCCCTAGGAGATCATCTTGTACTCTGTCCTCTTTCTTCCTCGAGCTAATGATGTCAAAGAGAAGCTCATCAATCTCTTTCCCAAGCTTCCATGCCTTATAAGACTGCATCGGTGAAAAAAATTTGCTAAAAGGAACTCCAACAAGTCTATTTTTCTTGAAGAGCATGATTTGCATGGCTTGGAGCTTTTGGAAGACTTCCTTGCCTTTCTCTTGGCTTATTCCAAAGCTGGTCATAGCTATGATCTCAGCTGCATTCATGGTGATCTCCTTCTCCACATCTATCTCATTGGCACCCTTTCTTACTTGATTGACCCACTCTTGTAACATTTTGGTTGTTGAATCCTCCATCATTGCTATCATTTTCTGCATGACATTATATAATTTGAATAACATATTAGGAATTTAAATGAGGCTTCGCGTTTAGGATGACTTTCTTACCGGTTTCTAAAACAACTTTTTAATATAAAAAATTGATAAAAGGCTTTCTTACCATTTTCTATAGCAACTTTTTAATACAAAAAAATTTTGACTTAGAATTTTTTTTAATAGAAAACTACTTTTGAAAGCATTAAGAAAGCTATCCCAAATAGAAAATATATGCTTGTTTGACTTGATACATAATATGCAAGTATTTTATAAGTCATGAAGGAAATACTGGAATTTAATTTAAGCTATGATCATACATCATTTGAATAGTATGATTATATATATAATTCTTTGTTAAAGTTTCCTTTGTAATTATTGCTTCAAAAAACATCATATTAGCCATATTTTTACCTTTTTAAGTCAACTATGTAGAAATTTGATGATTATTTACAATAGTTTATAGGGGGGTTTACATACAATAAGATTTTGATGTATTTATATATCTAACACTTAAATATTTATATTTAATTTTATAATAGTATTTTAATGTCTAAATCACATATAAGTATGTGCATGAAAATCTTCATTTTAATTCAAATAAGTTAGCATTTATTAGAACTATTTTTATTATGATTCGGAGATTTAAATTAGCCACATAAATGTCCCAAGTCTACATTTGATGATGATATGTTCTTCTTCTTCTATCTTACAAAATAAATTTATATTATTTACATAAGCAAACCAACATTATTTATAATCTCATAAAATATATTTATAAAGACAAAATTATCCATCTTTTAAAATAAATCAAAAGGATATAATTAAATTTAAAGAAAAAAAATCATAGAAATGGGAATGCTTGCACTAAAATATGGCTAATAAATTCAATAGATATCACAATATTATTTTAAGAAAGTGCACAATGTAGCTCATAATTCTATAAAGGGGCTACTCAGCTTACGTTCAGATTGGTTGTGGAGAAAGCTGGAGCAATAATATTGCGATGGCGAGCCCAATTATCTCCATCAATCATGACGAGGCCAGTCCCAAACATTGGCTTTCGATCATGCTTGAACACATCAGGCTTTCCCCATTTCTTTCCCAATTTTCCACTGGTTATTTTCCTGAGAATTTCGGGGTCTTCAATGTACAAGAAGGGCTCTGTGCCAAGCCAGTATATAAAAGCTTTTCCTGCAACAATTTATTAACTAATTACCCATGACTCCATGAGCACAGTTTGGATTTTTTTAAAGTTGAGAGCACTATGATAAAATATTTATTTTTTAAATCTTAAATTTTGTTTTAGACCAAAGCAACACCAAGAGTGGGTAAAGCCTTTGGTGAAATTATTTTTTTCCGAAATATGGACCATCCGGAGGCAAATCATAGCACGCCATGTCACCGGTACACAGGGGTATCAAATACCAATACCTAGCAAACGGGTGACGTGGCACGTTGTGATTCGCCTCCGAACGTCGTCCGGAATAAGCATAGAATAATTAATCAAGCCTTTGATATTGGTTTCTTCGTGTTGGCCTCATCGCTCATCATAATTAAATCAGTTCGAGCCTCACAGCTTTCGTGACCACTTTATATTTTAAGTTTGTTTGAGATAGTTTTCTTATTGCTTTGTTTTTCAAATTATAACTGTAATTTTTTGTTGACTACTACTTTTTCATTGTTTTCCATCATTTTTTGTGATATAAAACTACTTTCTACAACACCTTTCGAAAAAAGATGCTCTCTTCACATCAGTTTTATAATCATTTTTATAAAAAAACTTATGATCGTCTCAAACATACCCTTAGACATCTCTATGCTAGTAATATATCGTCGGTGCCACTATCCTAAATCCACTCATGCTATGCACTTATGACGGAAATTAGTAAACTAAAAAGATTATAAGTTATTATCCATAAATTAAAAGAATATAGCTCTAAATTTCTAATATTGGAAGTATGATAAATTAAGTGACAATTTTAAAAAAATATCTATATCATTAAAAGAGCTCAACTTTCTCAATTTTAGAATGAAAATTACACGTGTAAACGCATGGATTTTGCATGCAATCATCCATGCTTGCATGTCAATTGAGAAGCTGATTTAAGAGAAATGGTTTGCATGAGGCACTGCTACTTATTACCGACGGTCAATCCGCCAGCATAATCGTTGGAAGTCTTGAAATACTGTCCTTAATTGATGAATTTCCTGTTGTGGTAGCAGCCTAAAATTTTATTTGGAACATCTTATTATTATTATTTTTAAATAAAGGCTTCGTTTAGGACGGCTTTTTTATTGCTTTCTAAAACGGAGTTTCAATACAAAAATAAAAAAATTTGTATTAAAACTCCGTTTTAGAAAGTAATAAAAAAGCCGTCCCAAACGGAGCCAAAATTTGTACTTAAAAATCACTTTTTAAAAAGCAGTTAAAAGTCTATCCGAATGAAGCCTAACGTAAGATCAAACCAAAGCCAATCTAAAAACAAATAAGGAAATTCTTAAAAGTACTTATGAGTTTTCATGTTTAACATAAACAATATTCTTTAAAAAAATATGTGCATGTAATTAAAAGGGGCGATCATGAACTCAATTTTCTCACCATATATTTTCCTCCAACGAGCAAAGTAGGGGAACACTGTGGAATGTATGTCATGGCTTATCTGAATGGAACAGCCTTCTTCTTCAGAAGAAGAAGAAGTAGTAGAAGTAGGAGGAGGCAGCAAAGCTACCTTCTTATACATCTCCATGAGATTTCCCAAAGGAAAGCTCGGCTGAGGCCCATCTAAGCCATTCCTTCGAAGCCTAGACTTAAGCATGGAAGAAGAAATCCAGAAATACGTAATAACTAAGCCAGGCAAGAAGAGCAGAAAGAGAACTCCCATAAGCAGACCAAAATATTCCTCCATTGATGCTGCAAAGAGCTCCATAATACCTGCGCGCTCTTCTTACACGCACACAGCTGATGAAGATATCTAGCTCTTCAAACCACTTAACTCCTTCTCGCTGTTCTGTTTTTGATGAAGAAAGTCAGTGCAATTTGATGAGTATTTATAGTGGAGGGATGGCGATGGGAACGATAGGGGCTACGCACGTTTGACAAAAAAAAATGTCGGGAAAATAACGATTATGTCATCGACTATCTGCTTATTTATAAATTTAACCTTTTAGTACAAAAAAGCAAATTAACAAATAAATATATTTGGATGTGAAATGATAAACTCGTTTCATGAAAGCAACAATTATGTGTTGGATATTGTTGTGTGGTATATATTTGTTAAACTAATTTGTTGGAATGTGTATTGTATGATCAAATTTGGATCTGATCAATCTTATCTGATTAGTTTGATTCGATTTTTAGAGTATCGGTTCGGTATTGGTTGTAATTTGGACTTTCGTTGGTGTTTAATTTTTTGTTTATTTTTTTTTCTTTTTATAAGATCATTGAAATTATAGATTGAATTATACTAATTTATTTAAATATTAAATCAACAAGTTTATTTAAATATCTCAAAATAATATTTGTATTGAAAACTATTAGAATGAAATTCATGGTTGAGAGAGAGCTAAAGATATATATTGCATTTTTGAACGATCATCATAGATGACACAGCATCTTAAGTTAGCTAACCATTGTTGCTTGAATATTAACATCCAACCACGTTATTGGACTACAATTATCTGTTTGTGGATACTCAATTTTTATAATTCATTCAACATAAATCATATTATTGCTCTTAAATAGTGTAATATCATATTTTTTCAATCATAAAGAAGTGTATATTATTGTATATATAGATATATAATGTACTATTACAATTGGGATATGCCCTATGCCTTTTTCTATATGGATTTTCTTTATAAAAATTTGACGCCTCTTATAAATTTAATATGTTGGTATCGAATTTTGAAACAAAGCTAAAATTATTGTTAAAATTAATCACACTTTAGTTCCTCCAAAACATCATTGACTAATCAGGTTAAATATTAATCATCACCAAGTGTTGAACAACGATCGATAGGGGATGCCAAAAGTTGAGTACTTTCAATGGATGAGTAGTTTCATTATTCATTCTATAGTAAGGGAAAGCAGACAATCAATAAAATAGGCATCAAACATTAGTGGTCGGTAGATGTCAAGTATTAATCAATGGTAGACAACAAATGATAGTTGATGGGGAATGCCAAAATTAGGGCAATGGTGGATGCTTTGCTTAAGCATCTCAATAATAAGATAGGAAATCAAGCAACTAAAAAAAAAAAGTAACATATATTTGTGGCTCACAAATGTTGTGAGACAGAATGTCGATCATCCCAACAATATAATAGAAATGTCGATCATTAATAAGTGTTGGGAGACAATCATTGCAGAATGTGATCAAGAGTAAGGCTATTGTAGATCTTTGACATTGTCATTCTCCTAATCACGAGGATTGAATGACAAATAAAAAGAATATCAAGTGAATATTGATGGGGAATATTGAAAATTGAGTAATCGAGGGTGCCTATAGCTTGGTTGTTTTCCTAATAAAATAAGAGAACAATAGCAAATAAGACTTTTTATTGCAAGATGATTAATGATGGTTGTTGACATCAGTTTATGATAAATAAGCAACGACAATCACCGTAGGATAGTTGGTGACAATCATCAAAGGGGGGGTAGCATGATTGTTGGCATGAGTCGCTGAAAACAACAAATGTTAGCATTTGAAGTCAAGTGTTGGAATGTTGGTGGTACTTATCCCCTTTCCTAAGGTAAAATTGAGTGATCATAAATTAAGGTGAAACATAAGTCTATATACATTACTAAACTTAAAATTATGAGAGCTTAGACTTAGCAGATTCGTCTGCTGAGATGCCTGTATCAATTACTCAAGATCTCTCAAATACTCTTAATAAGATTTCCATATGCTTTAACTTGTTTAATTTATGCTCAATTGGATTAACGTTAACATGACTTTAAATCTTATTGGATTCTTCCAATCGAATCACATTATTTTATTTATAAATTTACAATAACAACAACATCAATATCAAATCTTGCTATCTTTTATGCTGGCCGAGCTCTATGAACTGGTGCTTAACGTCGTTGAAATCTTGCTCCCTAAATGGAGTTTCCGTTCAGCTTTCCATAACCTGTTCGCTGTGTTTTTTCATTTGCTCTTATGGGATTTTTTTGAGATCTCTGTGCAGGTTTCGTTTAGTTTCTTCGAGTTTTACCCTTTTGGCTATCCAGGTAATCTTCTGGTTGTTTCTTTTTGGGCTCCTTTTTTTGGTTTATTCTTTTTTGCAGGGAGTGGATGCTGAACTCTTATCTACAGATCTTCCTTTTTTGGGTGCCGTTGTTCAAAGCACCATTAGTTTTAGCGCTTCTATTTTTTGTAATAGTAGGATAAGGAACCACGGACTCGTAGGTTTTCTTTACTTTTTGATTGTAGCTCAGTCGAGCATTAGAGAGTCTGTGGATCCTTTTAAGGACTATGTATTCGTTATTTTGATATTAACACGTAGGCCCCTTTGTGGGTTTTAACTAAAAAAAAAAAACATCAATATCAAATCTTTATCTCACTATATGAGATCGGCTACAAACATCCTTTTTCTCCATTGTGTTAAGTTAACAGTTAAATTATCTTTTAAATTTAATAAAAAATATAATTTCTAATATTTTTAGCCAACTCTTTTATGTCTACCTCTATCATTCTTAACATTAGCCAAATCCAACATATCTACCCTCCTAACCGGATCACCGGAAGACCGATATTTTATGTAAACAAAATCTTAATTTCTTAAAATAAAATCTTAAAATAATTAGCCCAAATATTTGAAAACATTAAAAATTGTACCCAAATTCTACAGCTAAAATTTTGATTAAAAAAATAATTATAAAACATATAATACTGATCGATAATAAATATAAAAATTCTTATAAATAAGACAGAAAGGCTCATCGCAGGCCAAAAAAAAAAAATTTCATAAAGCCGTTTGTTTAGGTACTTTTTATAGCCAAACACGTAGTCGTAATCCAAAAATTCAGTTTTCCTCCTTTGACCTTTCAGTTTGTCGAAAGGTTTTCATCCGCCACCGCGGATTCGTCGGTGTGATCGGTGATGGATGGTGTGACCCTGCGCGCCGCCCTGCCGGCCAATCACCCTCTTAACAAAATTGGCAACACCGCCTTGGGAATAGCAGTTTCCATCTGCCAATCAGATTTATAACCGGCAAAATTTGACTTTTCATGACTTTGTGCCATCTCCGGTCATCATTGTGGAAAATTATTAAGTGAGACCATCCGAGATCAATTAAGACGTGCCACATCATCAATATATGTGCACCATTATTATGTACTGCTGTGTATATAATGACATGACACGTCCTGATTGGCCTCCGGATGATGCTGATCGTTACCAATTTTGAGCATTGGTCGTCACACTAAACACTACAATAACAACGAGGGTTATCATCAATACATAAAACAATTTATTTGATATTTAATAAAAAATTATTATTAATATAACAAGTATAAAATTTTATTTTGATTAAAAAATAATAAAAGTGTTGTCAAATGATCCCTGAAAGTTCATGATAAGCGTGTAATTTATAACAACAATGCATAAGTTATTGGTTATGTAAGGCTCCTTACACATTTATGATAAGATTATGGATTATATAATAGTAAACAATCAATCAAAACGTGTATGATTAGCCATACTGTCCTTAATGACCTCAAAAATAAATGTTATTAGGTTTGTTTGATTTGTCTTTTTTGTGCTACGTAATTTAATTATAAACATGCAAGATTTGGAGATAGTTTGACCTTTCAACTAATGTCTTAAAAATTTTAACCATATTGAAGCCGTTCAACCATTGCCACCGATTGCTGCTGTTGAACCGTTGTGGTTCAACCATTGTAGTGAGACCATCCTCTGACCATCATCACGCTATTACAATCCTATGAACAACTTCACCCAACTGTAGTCGTTCAACCATTGCCATATGAATATAATTCTCAAAGCACCATCACTCAACTATAGTCATTAAACCATCATCTACTAACTAGTATCTTCCGACCATCATTGCTCGACTATAATCCTTTGACCATCATCAGCATTAAAATATATGTTGAATTTCTTAATCTCTAGCCTCCATCCTTTAATAAGCAGAACTGAACAAATCACAAAATATCCATTAAAGACAGCTCTTATGCTGCATCACTCAAACAGCTTTCAGCATGATATACATTATATATCGTGTTTACAAATTTATATCAACATTCTTTTCAATTGTGTGGAATAACATCATTTATGAACGATAATAAATATTAGTGGAATCATTTTAATAGAATCAAATACTATAATTTTTTTCTTTTTCAGATTTTCTACGTAAAAATTTTTGATGTTATATTCATAAAAAATTAACATGATAAAATTTTTTTTTTATTGCTGCAAACATTTTTTTTTTAGAACCAAAGACCTCTTAATTAGTAGCCAAATCTCTCTACCAATAGACTCACTTAGTTTGGGACGGCTTTATTACCGCTTTTCAAATCAAATTTCCAGTATAAAAATAAAAATATTTGTATTAGAAATCTGCTTTAAGAATTAAGAAGCAGCAAAAAAGTCAACCCAAACAAAGCCTAATACTTCGTTTGACCTGCTTTCTTATTGTTTCTTTTTTTTTTGGGACATTTAGGCCATTTAAGGCAAACTCACACACACAGCGCATACACAGAGGCTCGAACCCAAGACCTCTTAGTTGGAAGCATAAACTCTCAACCAACAAGCCAAGGTGAGTTGTGTTCTTATTGTTTCTTAAAGCAACTGTCGAGTAATAGAAAGTTACTTTAAGAAACATTAAGAAAGTCAATCCAAACAAAGCTCTTATTAATGCTTTATAAAGTAGAGTTTTAGTACAATTTTTTTAGTTCAAAAAAATTTTTAACTAAAAAGTTATTTTAAAAAGCAATAACAAAGTTTTACCAAACAAAATCTAAATTGAGTTACGTCCTCCAGGATACTAATATTCATGATTTTTGTTTTTTAATTTGTAGTTTTTTTCTTATCGAACAATAAATAATAAATTAATTATGTATATACGATGTTCATGTTTATCACATGAAAAATAAGGGGAGGAATTTATCAACACTAATGGTCTAATTATGATTCGTGTAAGATTAGCCAACCAAAATAGTTTGACATTAATATTTCATGCATGATGCATTTGTTTGTCAAATCACAATAGTTACTCTCCGGGTCATGTTTTCATTACTTAGTTGATTATTGATAACTCGTCCTTTTAACAATTTGTTCAAAGCTCATCCGCTCTTTGCATCTGATCGATTCAGAGTTATAAAGTATGAATAATAATTCAAAGTTTTAAAACGCTGTCAATATGCAGTGCCTTTCTGCTACAATAGGAACTGAAACATAATATTAATCACTAAAAATTATGATTTTGAAACCCTGCTTATGCAAAGGTAGGCAAGAAGTTGTGCGGAAAAGTATAGAGTAGCCCTTGCACCTTAGTGCAAAAAAACCCATAGTCAAGAAGCCGAAGCTAGCCAAACCAAAAATAAAAGCATATACTTTCTGAGTATATCTTCCCAAACTATAAGACTAAGTAATGTCATTAAGGGATGAAGAATTGGCGCATAAGTGATGGAAAAATAAAAAAAACAATGATAAATTTAGCCAATCAAAATAATATACACTGTAACACTAATTAATGTCGTTCAAGCTTGATAATCTGAATTAGTTAACTCAAGAAGTAACATAAATGAGGGGAAGATGGGAATTGAAAAAAAAAAAAGCAAGAGTCTGAATTATATATGGAAGGTTCACAACATTATTTGGATGATAAAATGATATCCAAATATGACATGTTTATAGTCAAATTGAGTGGCTGGGCGAGACAAATCCAACGAGTCCAAGATCGTTGAATTTCGACATTGTTAAGACGCTTAAACAATTGAAAAATGCTATATAATCCGAGGAATCAATACGGGCCATCCGATGGAGTACTCCGAACCTGCCCCAGGTCTTCCCTATATTTATGGGGTGGGCCACTCATGAAAATTTATAAAGTCCTCCCACTCTCTGCATGAGAGGGACCTTTGGCCAAAAATTAGAGAGATCTTTCAATCTTCAAAAGCTCTAGCCCAACCGCTGGCGAACCCCCATCGACTATCGTCGGACCACCATCTGGCCGTAGATCATCCATGGACTTTAGCCTAACCGTCATTGGACCACAGTCCCTCCCCCGACAATCACCAGACCTCCACCAAATAACCGACTACCATGAACTCCCACCTGGCTGCCAACCGCCGCTGGACTTTCGCTCAATTGTCATCGAACCAGTACTGCATTGCAGCCCGACCATTAACAAACTTCTACCCGGTCACCGACCGTTGCTAAACCACCACCCAACCGCTGACCATTGACCACCGACCACTGTCAAACTTCCACCCGAGCGCCAAACATTGCCTTAGATCGCCCAATAGGTGACCGTCGCTGGACTTCCGCGTGACCATTGTTGGATCATTTCCCGTCAGCTGAACTCATGCTTGGACGGCATCAGTCTTCCGCCTGACCGTCGCCGAACTTTTGCCCAACTCTCCAAATTGCTGTAATTCTACCACCTCTAAGTCAAAAAGGACGGGTCAACCTTTATAATTCACTTAAATTTAATGAAATATTTTCACCTGAGTGAGGCCTGGTGGGTTTTCCCTTTTCGTAAAAAAATATTTGATGTTCATTGCTCTCTTTATTTGTGTATTGGATATCCGTGCATCACTAAGACGAAAAGTTTACTCATTCTACAACCTCGAATATTATAGCCCGCAACATATATATTTTAAAGATTATTTATGCATTTAATATTAAATAAAAAATATTTCAGCAATAAATGCATAAATCTGACTCGTGTTTATTCATAGAATCATATAGAGAAAATAGCAAATATTTTAATTTCTTAAATCCCAATTAAATATTATGATATAAATTTTCTTTAATTTTTTTATTACCCTAATTTAGTGTTATACACTTATACTTTTATTGGTCATATAATATTTGTATAATTATGCTTCAGCTTGGGCTAGAGACTGGGCCTGACCGTAATTTCAGGGTGCGAAATGGAAGTACCAGCCAGCGCCCCGCAACTAGGCCATGAAGTTCCAGATTCCAAGCCTCCAAAGGCCGGAGAGGATTCTACCGCCGCCACCGCCACCGCCACCGCCACCGCCACTTCGGCTAACCAGGATGGAAGGAAGAGGAAGCTCGACCATGACGGGTTCCGTATGTCCAAGTATTTCAAGATTTGTTCTATTGTCAAAGAGCTGCGGCCCTTCTTTGTTGAGGTGATTTTCTTTTTCCTTTATAAACCAAGTTTGAAACATTTGAGTTATCTGTTTGTTGTTCATTGGATTTGGTCCAATTTCACGGGCTATTCCGTCTTGTTGATTTATGGATTCGTAATTCGTGATTTAGTTGGTGCATTATGGTGGTTTGTGTCAGTTGGGCAGTGTAGAGTGAGAGGGACCTGCTGGTATTGGTGATTGGACTTTGAATAGCTCATTGATACAGGAGTTTGTGATAGTTACATGGGATTGCTACAGCTTCTAGGGTTCGTGAAGATGAAAAGGTTGATCAAGGAGAACGGCTGGGCGGCAAGATCGATGCTATAAAAGAGATTGTAAATAAGCTATTAGAAGAAATTTATGGATGCATTATGGTCTTTCTTAGGGGCTGTTTGGCTACAAGTAGGATTTCACTCAAGTAAGATTTAGTAATTATCATGTAAATCTAGATTTAGCGAATTTTGAGATGATTAAAATTGAATATTTTTTGGCATGTCAACTATAAAATTTTGCTAAATTTTGACAAATGGTTTGAGTATCTGTTTCGAGAGTTGAGATATGTGTATCCAATCCTATGAATGATGTGATTTATTAAATCGTGGATTTAACCAATAATAAAGTTGATACAGTATTTTTCAAAGCTATAGGATTTAAAGTCTTCAAAATCCTATTCGGCAAAATGTAAGCTAAATCTTACTTGAATCCTGCCTAAAATAGGGTACCAAAACCCTTAGATTTCTCTTTCAATCCCACTTCCTTTGCTCCAGTTGCAATGGGGTGGGAACTTCTACTCAAAAACACCCAAAATGACACCCAATGGCTCTTATTTATGAGAACTCCTCAATCTCGTTTCTTAAAACCCCTCCATTGTAGGCATCGCCGTGGATCGTACATGGACTCACAACTTAGTTTATATAAATATCATTCAACTGGAAAGTTGGATCCCATCTCCTTCACATCACACCCTTTATCCATTAACAAGGTTCATATTCTTAGATGAAAAATGCAAAGAAATTGTGAGAGATTTGGTTCTCCTCTAATGGTCTAACATCTGATAACTCCAAGGGTTTAGAAGGTGGTTTGTGTGGTTGACTCTAGCAGCAGCCTGCCACCCCAAAAAAAAATTAAGATATATTGTGGAAGAACAACACGTGCAATAGAGAATCAACAATTTCTACATAATTAGGCATTTTAAGTTTCTACATTGTTTAATAATGTCCCACCATAAGTCAAATTTAGTACCTCAACTTTTCTAACCGGGTCGTCGGAAGGCCTCCGTTTAATGTGACCAAACCATCTTAGATGACTCTCCCTAATCTTATCTTCCACTGGAGCTACTCCAACCTTTTCACATATATGCATTGACACATCCAGAGATCATTGCTGTAGTTGAACATTAGCGATGTTGGAGGCATAACACATGGCAAATGCCAACATGAAGCTTGCAATGATATTGCACTTGTTACAATGACGCACATAGCGATTGTTGAAGTTCTTCTGTGCTCCATGATGTTGAATGCTACTTGCGATTTGCTCTCTTATTTGGTTAATAAATTTAGCTTGAATTGTCGAAGTTGACATGGAAGAAACATTCTATGTGGAGCAAATATATATCTATTTAAATATTTTTATTGGTTCTTTCATTACTTTTCTCTGTAACTATGTGGTGGTCTTGGGCTATTTTTGGTTATATCCACATTCTTGAATGTGTATAAAATATTATGTAAGCGCCAAAACATGAGTTTTTTTTTCTTTGGAGAGCTTAAGATGTCGAACTATCATTGTTTAAGATCAATGATAAAGAAAATTATATTCACGGTACTTCTTCACTTGTAGCTGTGGAGAGTTTAAGATGTCGAACTACCATTGTTTAAGATGAATAATAAAGAAAATCATACTCATGATTCTTCTGCAGTTGTAGCTGGCTCTCATTCCCTCCCAAGTAAAACGTGTGCCTTTTTCTATTTTCTAAGAATGATGTTTTCTTAGAAATCTAACCCTCAATGAATTAGAAAATAGGATGTAAAAGTTGTATTCTAAAGTTTTCAACTTAGAGTTTTTATTTGAAAATTGGGTGGATGTTTGCGCACTTTATTGTTTTGGAGCACATGGAATGAGGTATTTTGCAGCTTAATATCATTATTTATAAGCATCTATGCATTCCTTGAAGGTTGACATAAAGCCTGACTTCCTTTTTTGTGTTTGTAAGGTTTCACGGACCCCTAACTTCAGAGACGGCAAAGTTTCCCATGAAATTCAAATACGTGAGTTTATCATAATGCATTTATTTCAATATTCTGAAATACATTTTCAATCTGCTTGGTTCATATCAATACAGAGTATAATAATATTGTTGGCTTCTATGGATGATTTTGGAGCTCATTAACTTATCAACTTACTCATGGAAACTCATTTTTATTGGTTCAGTAAATCAGGCATTGAGTGCTTAAATATTCAACAATTAGTTCTCCATAGAGCTTGTTCAGGAAGGTTTATTTCATCTTTGATTTAATTAAAATAAGTTTAAATATGCGATATTGAATGCTCAGCGGATTGTAGGGCATTTATTTTGTTATTTCAGTCTCCTTTGTTTGCATACTAATTAAGTTTATCTTTATTATTTTTATCAAAAAGCTAGGGAAAACACCATCTCTTTGAAATAAAAGAAATTATTACATATTAAAAAATAATAACAATGAGTGAAGTATCACAAAAACATAAGACAGAACTAAGGCTCTTAAATCATAAAGTTGAAATAAACAAATCAGTAGATTTCTCTGATAGCTGAAAATCTGGTAGCTACAATTAGATGATAGAAACCTTCTTGTTGGTTGCACTGAAATTCCAAAAGTATGCAAGATAGATGATATCAAACCAAAAGACTACCGCATCTTTAGTTTTATTAGAGAAACATCTAGTGTTTCTTTCATTCCACGTTAGCCATATTGAAGCAAATTAAAAAAAAAAAGGGAAGAACGGCCCTAAGATCAATGAAGTCATTCTTAATAGTTTTGCCCTTAAAAGAGGGAATGAAGCTCTAATGGTTCCAACTGCCTTTAAAATGCCAAACAACTTATAAGGCCTCTAATAAACCTGGTTAATTGTCCAACAATTGAAGAAAATGTAGAAACCATTTCAGAAAAAAAGCTTTACACATAGAGCAAGTCATTGTATGGCGAAGACCCAAGTTATAAATAAGAGCTTTGCTAGGCATTGTTCTTGGACAAAAGCAAAACAAGAATATAAAATTTCAATGGGACAACAAGATTCCAAATCTTGCAAAAGTTTGATTTATTCATGACTCCAAGAAAAAGGAAGGAATAAAAGGACTTAACAAAGAATAGTCCCTTGATAAAAATCATTGATGTATATCCATAGTTGAATTGATAGAAATTGAAATGCTATGTATCGTGGGCATCGATATGAGGCACGAACATAATATAAGGACATGATATCACTGAAAAAATTAGGGCATGAAGGGCTCGATGGTTTTTTTAAAATAAATTATTAATATAAATATTTGTAATCAAAACATCTAATGGCTATATTTTATATCAAAGAGTATTGTAAAATAAAGTCTAATATCATAACAATCACATAAAAAAGTTAAGGAAAAAAATATTGGTTTAATTACAACTATATTTCACCACCTTATTGAGTGTACTTAATTGTAAAAAACATGCCAATATTAGCACTGATAATTAGGCATTATATCAATATCAACATTATATTATCCACAAAAAATGCCAAAGTAAAAAAAAAGTATATAATCTTCAAAATGTATAAAAAATATGAACATACGAAGTACAATTGTTTGATTATGCATTCTCGATATCGTGATTATCATCACAACTAACACCAATATCCTTTTCAATAAAATTTACCCATTATCCATAAAATATAGTTTTCTAAGCTAGCTCATGAAGAAATACATTTCATCATTATCACGTGTTTCAGTCATGTCAGATGCATCCCAACCATGTCCAACACTAATTTTTGAATCAAAATATCATACATGATTTTCAGTGTGTAGAATATGTGTCGTGGTGTGTTCGAGGTGTGGTGTTCATGTCCAACATGGGCATAAAAAGCTTTTTCTAGTGTCCAAGCTTCATTATAGAAATGTAGTTGATGGATGCAATAAGTGAATAAATGTTAGTTGTGCACAATGTATGAATTTCGGGTTTTGAATGAATAAATCGTGGCCTTCATGATAGTTACTCAATAGCATTTAACCTTTAGTTTCCACAACTGTCATGTTTCTAGATGTTACCAAGAGATGTGGGACTTTTTTTGTTCCACTTAATTTCATGTAAGTAATATATTTTACATATACGCTCTCTTTTCTTAGGATTTTTTTTCTATCTAGTGACATAATTTGCACATAAAATATTGTAATACCTTGTTGGGTAAGTAGGACTAGTTTCTATAATACACGCTCTTTATTATTAAGCTGACTATATAGCAAAAAAAAAAGAAAAAAGAAAAAAGAGTTTCTTATTGTCAAATTTCTCGATGAACTTCATCCTTCACTCAAATGTGTATAATTTCAACAAATGGAAGATTCTATAATCTCCATTATTTCAGTTGCTTTGTTACTTGTTCTTCGGGTCACGGAGCTTTTGTCAATCTCTCCACCTTTTTTTGGCAAGTTTTCTTTTGCTATGGGGCTTTTTGGTGGTCGTGGTGGTCAGGTTAATGTTGGTCGTGGCCCTTGGGAAATACCTATTCCCACAATCCCATTATAGTGTACTAATCATTCTGCAAAATATAATTGGTCCAAAATTTAGCTATCTCATGTCCTAGTATGCCTTTGGACCCTCTGTGGCTACTATTGATGCTTCCATTCCCGCCAACTTTTATGGGTTATATACTCTTTCTCAGGTGAATTTTGAAAGCCTAGTTCAACATTCAAATATTGGTGTATGCTTCTCATGACATTTCCTTCAATTTTGATAAAACTTCTTTTGGCGCCCTTGATTTTGTTATGGTGGTTCTTGGCTTAGGACAGATATTTAGATAATTCTCTTTTTTTTGACATATATTCTGTTCCACCTATTATTGTTGCTAATAATTCTTCCTCGACTACATTTGGGAAAGCCCATCTTTATATCTAAAGGCAAATCTCTCTAGGATGTTTTATATATTCTCAAATTTTTTGTCAATTTTCAATCCAATATCACTAAAACTAACAACTGCTTTATAATCTTTTGTTGCATGTTTTTTTTAATTTGTGTGTAATTTATAATCACCACCACTTAATATATTTTCCAAAGAAGTGAAAGTTTATTTTGTTGGAGTTACTTCTCAATAGCTTTAAGATTTCATAAAATTAAATATCTAATAGAAATAGGTCAGGTCTCACTCTTTGATTAAAGTGAAAGCTACTCGCTAGTTGTAGCAAGTTCTCTTGAATGAAATACATCATATATTTCTAGAAGAAGATCAATATGATAATGGGGTTTGTCATCATTATAGCTACATTAAAAGTTTGGACTCTAGAGCTTGGGACATTAATATCAACAAGAATATTTACATTTATGCCAAATCACGGGTAATAAAGTGTTTCTTCTGTCCAGTTGTCGATGTTGTGTAAGAAGCTAAGAGCATATTAGAAAGATATTCTCTTCATTGTTCCTAGACTTGTCAAGGTGTATCTTTAATCCTTTTAATCCTTTAAGAATGGTTTGATATGTGTCTTCAGTCTGTCCATCTGTTTAAGGATGTGTAACAAATGTGTGGACCAGTTGAATATGTAAATTTATTTAAAAGGCGTGAATATATTTCCTTGCAATTGGCTCCCATTAATTGTGATGATTTTTGCGAAGAGATCAAAGAGACTAATGATGTTCTTCTAAATAAATTATTTTGTATTTTCTGCAATAATTTTTGTGATTTGCTTAGATTTGGTGAAGTAATCAACAACTACATTGATGAATTTTCGTAGTCCTATAGCTTTGGAAAAATGTTAGATGATGTTGATTTTCTATTAAGCGAAGGTCCAGGGGGGGCTTTGGTGAGATGAAAGTTTGGTTGATGAAACATGTGTAAGATTAAAATACATTTGATAATTATTAAATTTTAGAGTATAGTTTAATGCATCATATTTTATTGTAGACCAGTAGAATCTTTGCTTTAGAATTTTCTTGGTGAGTGCTTTGCCCCACAAGTGTTCCCCCGCATATCATTGAATGGACTTGTCGAAGTATATACTTAGTCTTTGACGGAGGAAAACGCTCGAGTATGATCTCGTAAATACTCTTTTATACAATTCATCTCCAAGAATTGTGAAGTTTGTAGCTTGTCCTTAGAAACAGATGACAACTCTTGAATTTTCTAATAATGTCCCATTATATAAAAAGTAATATTTAGGGGTCTATCCAAGAGGTCTCTCTTGATTCTTGTACGCACTATATCTCTTATGGACCTTGAATATTGAGAAAGTGTATAACCTCAATACACCTTCATTTGTATAAATCTTTAGTTGATGAAGTTGCAAGCTTTAAAAGGGCATCAACTCGTGATTTTTGTTCTCCATATGCATGAATAATATGTTATGTATTGATGAAAGAAAGAAGCGATTTTACTTAGTTGAGGTATTAATCAAAAGTTTTCTCTCGTTATGGCAAGGGGTAATTAACTATAGGGGCTTGTGCTTATGGGAAACCTGAACTCAGATCATAAAGCCCTCACAAAATGAGGGCAAAATCTCTGGGTGATATCTTATCTTAAACCCAATTTGCATTCTTAAAATTTATCTCAGAACATAAACTTGTTAAAACTCTTATCACCACCACAAAAAGGAAAAGGGTTGCAGAGAGGCTAGGACACGAATTTTCAGAGCCCACAGATTTGGGTTCATTTGAACTTGGATCAAATTACTTTTGGTGCTGGGTTCTCGTTTTGTCGAGACTTTTAGTTCAACTATAAGTTTGCTGTAATTGTAGCTCGGATGGTCTTGAGTTTATCTCCAAAAGTTTTGAATACACGGAAAGCTTCTACTGCCATGTTGATCAAGTGATTTTCTTAAAGATGTGTCCTGTATTATGAGTGATGTCCAAATATTCTTATCTCTTTACAAAAATAGGACTTCAAAGCTCGCTAAATTTCAGAACATTTGCATTGCTTTCTTGATTTTCCTACTTCTAGTTTGTAAAATAGCAGATCATTTTTGTCTCTAGTGGAACACCCGTTAGAGATTACCTTGATACTCGTAATTTTTGGAATTTAGGGATAAGGATTGTTAAGCATCATAGTTTGGTGTATAACCAGCTTTTAGTAGTGTAGAAGTGGGTAATTTGCAGTCATTTTCATGGGATAGTTTTAAGATATAGAATAAATAAAAGTATCATGTGTTGGATTTAGTTAGTAGATCTTAGTTGAAGGACATGTTGCATGAATGTAACTCTTTCACTCTGTACCACGGTCCCCTCCCCTTCCCTAGCTTCTCTTTCATTCCAAATTTAATTTGTGTGATGAGCCTTTTTTGTTCTTCTCTTGCTTTGACATTTGTCATGCATAATAGGCCTAAAAATTAACCAATAAACTCGACAAAATTCTCATGGCTCAACTCTGCTAGATTTTGTTTATGATCGTTTAATTAACTAATCAAGTATAGTTGAAAAAATTTATAATACTCTATTGATAAATGAACAAGTTTGAAGAGTTTAATGTTTGATTCATTTATGATTATGAATAATATCATTTAATTCTTATGAACAAGCTTGATTATGGCTCGATAATATGCTCATTTAATATTCGATTTTAAATTTATTTAATATGTGATTATGTGGTAGTCTTGTTTATATTATATGATAATATTATTGTTCATTAACACAAGCTACTTATTTATGCTCATGAAAATATTTGTTTATTTAGCATGTTATTCATTAAAGTCTCATTTGTATACTCAATTGGCTGCTTATTAATAGTCTCGATAAGACTTGTTCAATTAACTAGCAAGTTGCTTGGCAAACCAAGTTCTAACAATCACAATTTTAATCCAATTGAGCTTGAATATTACTACAAATATTGGAATCAAGCTTGAGCTTGAAGAAAGTTTTGGCAAACAAGCTCAACTCGAGTAATTCCTTGCTTATCTTAGCTTGATTCATTTGCAACCCTTATGCACATTACTACTGTTACCTTATATAGCATGTTTTGTACTACATGTTCTTGCTAACTTTTTTGGTTTTTGTTCATTTTACTGCAGAGAGCGTAAACATTGTTCTCAATTTTCATTATTGATGTATTGATCAACTTTTGAATTTAAATTGTATTTTGGATATCCTAAAGCACCCCGTTTTATTTTTATTTTAGTTCTCTTAAAGACTGTTCTCAATTATATGAAATTCCTAATTTATGCACCATTATTGGTATTCAGCATGCCCTTGCTGGATAAGGTGTCTTTTTTCCCTTTTCTGAATTAAAAGCTATTGCTGTTCCTGATTTCGCTTGTAAATCCATATGAAAATTCAAAATTGAGGTTCTATTTTCTCAAGGCTTAATTTCTTCTATATCACTATATATATCTCAGAAATTCTTGTGAATGAAAATTGTAGGAATGAAGTCCTTGATAGAATTAACAAAACAATTGAGGACTGAAACATCTATCGCAGAGTGCTGTGAAACTCCTGTGAAAGAACCTTTATCTGCAGTTGTTAAGGAGGAGAACATCGAAAAACATCCTGAGGGACATAAGCAAGCGCCGCCACCGCCACTACCAGGTGAGGACCGAGCTGCATCAGTCAATGCCATTGAAAATGGCATTAGAGGTTCGTTAGAAGAATCTCTTCTGAATAATGCGAAGAGCATTTCCGAGAAGTGAGAAGAGTTTAGGAATTTTTGCAGAGAAAAACGAAGGACTGGAAGAATTGCAGAACATCAACGAAAGAGAGTTCACAGAGCCTTTCTTGGTCGGTGCTTCGCCAATTGGTTGGAATTTTCTGGTTTACCCTGGTAAGAAACCAGTCTTCTATGGCATCTCAAAGGAAACTACATTAGCCCAGCGCGCTAAGACTGAGTAATTTGTTTCTACCCTTCTTCTCCCTTGCCTTTGAATGAAATTTTAATGTGCTTTAGAATGATTGAGTAAATTATGTTATCTAGAACCAGTTTTAGAACCATAATTTGAGAGGACAAAGTGCTTAAACATTGCTTAATGTGTATCATATTGTAATCTGTATGATAATTTGCTCCATTTGCAGACTATGCCATGCCAAAGCTATTTGTTTCTGTTAGTTGATATATCTAAAATTGCTCGGCTATTCTTCTTTGTAGAGCCTTCTCAGTCTTCAGCAAAGTTATTCAAATGTCATTGGTTTGTGGCGAAGTTTCAAGGTGAAGTTTTCATTTTAGTCTCCTGCTACCTGTTATTTGCATGTTGTAGATATCATATATTTGTTTATTTTATTTGAGTTGTAAACATAGAGCAATTCAACAATTCAAATGTTTTGTCATTCCGCTAATGTTTGGGACAATGTTTGATCATTATTCGAACATGATTCAAATTGCATAATTTTTCGCCCACTATCTCTCATAGAATTATTGTATTATATATGCATATATTTGCTTTTATAGCTCGTATCATATATGTAGTTAGATATATGATAGAGAAAATTATTAAAAAATTTGAGGCTAATGATCTCATGATGTCCAACTTTGAAGGAATGACAAAACATTTAACATTGTTGAATTTTACACGGATCAATATGATAGGAAGTGTAGGAATTGAGTTTAGAATTTCAGCAAGATTCAAACATATTTTGAGATAAATCCCTTGGTGAAATACTAGGAAAATTTGATAATAGATAAAAAGTTGAAGAAAATAAGCAAGATATAATGGATCTTCAATTTGAGACGAAGATCCAACTCTCCCAATCTCTAGCCGACGGCTAGAAGCCCAAAACACCTAATAGAAAACTCAAAATTAGCAAAACATTACATAACCCTAACCCTAACCCTTGCTCTCTTATTTAAAGAATACAAATAAAAACATAATTACTAAACAACCCTTCCCCGACTAATTTTCCTCCTAAATTATCCCCTCCAATTTGCAATTGCCATCAAGGCATGGGTCCCACAAGGGGGCTAGCAGCTCCTGTAGTTTGTCTGGCATAAACCTGAAGCTGGCCATAATTTTGGGCAAATTATTAGGTCCGGTCACCGGACCTATTTCTAGGTCCGAACATCCACCAAAAATTTGCCACGTGAAATGTACACGTGTCCGCAAAAATTTAAGTCAAGCGCGTCAAAAGTGCAGGTAAAGCACAGTAAAAAAACGCAGTCAAAGCGCACCTAAAGCGTAGTCAATGTGGCAAGTTTTCATTGGATGTCCGGACCTATTTTTAGGTCCGGTACTGGACCTAATAATTTGCCTTAGTTTTGAGTCGGCTTGACCAGTTTATCACAATATGTAATAAATGTATTGCTGAAGATTAGTAAAAGGTAGGGCTTTTGATAATAAGTTTAACACCTCAAGCAATTTGACTCGCTATCATGTCTTGTTTGATCTTCAAGAGCTCATACATTTACTTTCCTATGTATAAACTATATTAGTTTATAGTGAGTATTATTTTTTGAGGAATTTAATTCCAATATGACTCAAAATTAATCTTTTATTTGATAGTGTAAAATATCAAAGGAGCATAATTATAGTATCAATTTCATTAGAACCACTTTTTGTCAATTTATCAATTTCCTTATTATGTTGTGTTATGTATTTGGAATTGCACTATGTGAGTTATGAATGTTGTGTTATTATACTCTATTATGTTATGATTTCTTGTTATATCTCTTGGATTATAATTTGTTATGTTCATTTACACTATTGAAACCCTATTTGATTGAGCCTTGTTTGAATCTTTATTTGTTTAATCCATGTTGGAATATTGTTCAAACAAACATGATTGAATATTGTTCAAATAGGATTTCAACTCAATTCGAACTATGTTTTTCATATCAAAATCATATCCGATCAATATTCGATGGTTCCAACATTGCACGATCTTTGTCCAAATCTATATCGACCAAGGTAGATTTCAACTAAGTAGTTTGCGGTCAAAATAAGAAATATTTAGTCCAAAATAAACTTTCAGATATATTTTTTCATGAAAATAAATAAAACATATTTCCCTCTTTTTTATATACCACATTGATTATATAATATTATGAAATTATGCCTAAAATGAATTTAAAAAATTTAATGCTATAAATATTGGTAAGTTCCACAAATGCTATAAATATTAATATATATTAATGAAATGTATTTTGGCAAACTAGACATATTATTATATAATCGAGATTAGGACAATTTTAAATAAAATCTAAATTATTTTAATTCAATAAAATATAAAAAATGATAATCAGTATTGATCAATTTATATGGTATTTTATTTTTTTAATATCGGATTACACTCATTTATTTATGTTGCATGATCGGTAAAATTTTTGTTAAGTGTTAAATTGTAATAAATCCTTCATTTATGTGTTATCTAACTAATGCTATGTAACATTTTCACTCAATAACTTGCTGAAAAATAGATTAATTTGTATAAAACTCCCTATTACTTTCTTTTTTGAAAAAAAAGAAGAAGATATCTTATTATTTTATTTTTAAAAAAGAAATATAATTTATAATTATAAAATAGAATAATATGTTTTTAGTAGTTGATGTCTAATATATTGTATTAATGTCATATATAATTAAGGGTGTAAATGAGTTCAGTATTTGCCTAATCTAGCTAAGCTTATTTAACTCTTGTTGAGCTCGAGCTTGGCTCGTTCGAAAGTCATTAGGCTTGAGCTTTACTCATTTACTCGAGCTCATCTAAAAAGTTAGAGCTTAACTCGTGAAATAATTAAAATTATTTAGTATATATTTTATTATATTATTTTAAATTTTGATTTTAAATATATTATAATTTAAACAAGGAGCTCGACAAGCTTACGAGCAGAATCTAGTTGAGCTCAAGTTCGTATGATATAGGAGCTCGACTATAGGATCCATCTCAAACTAGTCGCTCGATAAACTCGACTCATGAGCTCATTAATGAGTCGGGTTCGAGCGAGTTAGGCTCTGATTTTTGTCTATTTATTTCAAAAATTTTAATATCTGATTTTTATTCATTTTTTTATTGATGACAATATTAAAATTTAAAATTCATGGAGCTTATGCCATGCTTTTTATTAAGTAAAACAAAATGACTTATGCCTTCACCTTTTAAAATATTGAATGAACCTAATAATTAACTGCCAATCATCCACAGAAATCTCACACCATCCTTAGAAATCTCACGCCTTAAGTAAAATTCCTCAAATAAATTAAGTTAACTAGCAAATAACTAAGAATATGCTTTCAAAAGAGGCTCATAAACCCTGTGTTTTTTCCGGAAATTATTAGGCCCGGACAACGTACACAGTTTACCGTCCAGAGACCAATAAGATGCGACCATGTTATCTAATACCGAGCAATACTAAGCTCAATTTTGAGCAGTACTGAGCTCGGTACTGAGCAGTACTGAGCTCGGCACTGAGCAGTACTGAGCTTGGTATTGAGCAGTACCGGGCTCACTACCGAATAGGAGGTGATGTGACACATTTTCATTGACCTCTGGACGGCGCACGCGCTCCGGGCCCAATAATTTCCCATTTGTTTGTTTGAGACACTTTTCTTATTGCTTTCTAAATAAACTTTTTAACATTTTAAAGTGTCCAAGGCTTTTTTATTGCTTATTTAAAGTAATTGTTTTAGTAAAAAATTAAATTTAAAAAATTAATTTAAAAACACTAAGAAAGTTGTTCATAATAAAATTATTTCATTTGAAATGATTTTTTTACTGCTTCTTAAAACACAATTTTACTAAAAAATTTTAATTATATATATTAAAATATTATTTAAAAAAATAATAAAAAATAATCCCAAACAAAACTTAAATATCACATATCCCAAGCATCACTTACCAAACATTGATTTTTAAATTCATTATAATGCTCGTAAATTAGGCTTCCATTTTCTTGGAGTCATCCATTTCGTCGAACACCTTGCAGTCGCAGCAGTTCAGCTCCCTTCATCGTCTCCGCGCCCTCAATTCCAAGATCATGAAATGTTCGAAACAAATCAAACACCTAACATCTTCAATCCCTCCCACCCTCCCGCCTTTCTTTCCTCTCTTCTTCTCCACCCGCACTTCAATCCGACCGCAATCGAGCCAATACCAACTCTTTGCCCCATTCCAGAACCCAAAACCTCCCATCCCTCCGTCCAAATCCCAACTCTATGCTTCCTTCTTCTGCTCTCTAATAGAAATCTATCTAACCTGCACTCGTTTCTCTCAAGCAGCAGAGGCATTTGTCAGCATGAGAAGCTTCGGACTGAACCCGCCTCTCCGTTCATGGAACCGCCTTCTCTTCAAATTCAACTCATCAGGTTTTCTCTCTCAGGTACCAATCGTCTATTCGGAACTGCTTAACTGCCATGAAAAATTCAATGTCTTTGCACACAATGTAATGATTCATGCTCTATGTAAAATGGGTTTGATAGAAAGAGCTCTTGAATTGCTTAGAAAAGTTGAGACTGATACTGTAAGCTATAACACCGCTATTTGGGGCTTTTGTAAGTGTGGAATGGTGGAATCTGCTGTTGCGTTTTTGTCTGAGATGATTAAAAAGAGTGTCAGGTTTGACACGATTAGTTGTAATATTCTGGTCAAGGGATTCTTTCAAGTTGGACTGGTTGATGACGCTGAAATTTTGATGGAGATGTTTCTTCGAGCAGGGGTTGGTAGGGATATCGTTGGTTTTAATTCTTTCATTGATGGGTACTGCAAGCTGGGGTGTGTGAGCGATGCTGTTAGTCTATTGCAGAGTATGAAGGATGAAGAGGTTTTACCTGACATTGTTACTTACAATTCACTGATTCATGGATTTTGCAATGTTAAAGAGTTTGTTTTGGCAAAGAATCTGATGGATGAGAGTGTTGTGAATTCAGAGTTGAATGTTGTAACATACACTACATTAATAAGTGCATATTGTAAGCAGGGATGGCTGGATGAGTCATTCTTGTTGTTTGAGGAAATGGTTCGGAGGGGCATCTTACCTGATGTTGTTGCTTACACTACTCTCATGAACGGTCTCTGCAAAGATGGTGATCTAACCAAGGGCTATAAACTTTTTAGAGAGATGGAGAACCTCGGTATATTTCCTAATCATGTCTCATACTCTAGTCTTGCAGATTCCTTATTCAAAGAAGGTAAAATGACAGAGTTGTCTGTTCTATTTAAGGAGATGGTTGTTCGAGGCATTTGCATGGATTTGATTTCATATAATACTTTCATTGATGGATTCTTTAAAGCTGGAAAGGTTGATGAAGCTGAAGATATGTTCCAAATGATCTTGTCCTGCTATCTCATTCCCAATCATATCTCGTACTCCGCGCTGATTGATGGACGTTGCAAGGCTGGAGATATTATTGGTGCAGAACTTGCACTCATTGAAATGGGGAGGAAGTCTGTTGGTGCAAATGTGATTACCTACACTTCTATGATCAATGGCTATGTTAAAAAGAGAATGCTCACTAAAGCTGTTGCTGTTTTAAGGAAGATGAAAACAGAAAATATATATCCAAATGTTGTAACTTATGCGACACTCATCAATGGCCTCTCCAAGATGAGAAGACACGAAGAAGCTCTTGATTTGTGTAGAAAGATGGTAGAGGAAGGCCTGGATGCCAACCATGTCATGTATGATGTTTTGTTTAATGTGTTGAGGAGAAACAATAGGATGAAAGAAGCGGAAGGCGTATTTGGAAAGATGATAGTCAAGGGACTGTTGCCCGATCGTGTTAATCTCACCTCTGTGATGGATGGATATTTTAAGGCGGGGAATGAGTCAGCTGCCATGGAAATTGGACTAGAGTTGATGGAAAGAAAGGTAAGCCCTGATGTTGTTGTTTATAACGGCTATATAAATCGCCTTTACATGGTTGGGAAGTCTCAAGAAGCAAAATCTCTTATCGCTCAACTGAAAAGCATGGATTTGAATCTTGATCATGCTACATACAACATTATGATTGGGGCTTGCTGTAGAAAGGGTAATCTAGATAAGGCATTTAAAGTCTTTAGTGAAATGAAGAGTTTCGGGGTTATGCCTAATATCATCACTTATGAAATTTTGATTGCATCACTGTGTGTGGTGGGAAACATAGAAAAGGGAATGGGGCTCTTGAAAGAAATGGCACTAGATGGATTCTGCCCAAGTCCTTCAACTCACAAGAAAGTGCTGCAAGCATGTTCTAAGTGGAAAAGGGCTGATTTAATATTGCAGTTTCACCGACAAATGGTAGCTGCAGGCCTTGATCTTGACATATCTGTGTATAATACACTCATTAATATCTTTTGCACCCTTGGGATGACACGAAGAGCCTTATGGGCTCTGAATGAAATGCGTGAAAGGGGGATATCAGCAGACACAATTACTTTTAACTCCCTCATTTCTGGACATTGCAATAGTGGCCATTTTGATAAAGCTTACACTGTGTATTCTCAGATGCTTCATGATAGGGTATCCCCAAACATTAATACATACAATAATTTATTGGACGGGCTTTCAAGTGCTGGGAGAATTACGGAGTCTGATATGATAATCAATGAGATGCAGAAAATGGCGCTTGAGCCAAACTGTGTTACTTACACCATTCTTGTATCTGGATATGCAAAGCAAAGTGATCTTAAGGAAGCTATAAGGCTATATTGGAATATGGTGAATAAAGGCTTCACACCTAGTGTAGGTACATACAATGTTCTTATGAGCGAGTTTATGAAGGTGGGAATGGTTAAACAAGTTATTGAATTGTGGAATGAAATGCAAAAGAGAGGTATCTTACCTAATTGTTCAACATATGACATGTTAATTACAGTTTGGTCAAAGCTATCCAATGGTTTTGAGGTTGCTAAATTGCTTAATGAGATAAAAGAGAAAGGTTTTATTCCTTCTGAAAGTACTCTTCGTTTAATCAGTAGAGCCTTTGCAAAACTAGGTAAGAAGAGAGAAGCTTTGAAGTTTCTCAGAACGTTGTATAAATCTAAAGAAAGAACTTAGTGATTTCAATCATGCAAAAACAAGTTAATGCCAGCAGAAAACTCATATGGTCTATGTAAGAAGTGCTATCGCAAAGTTACCTTACATAACTTTATTATGCTAGAAAAAGTGGAGGGGTGCAAATTCTTGCAATCCGATTCATTTATGGCAAGTTCTCACTTCCAAGCTGAGGTGAGATTATTTTTAGCAATAATTTGTTGCTTGAAATGATACTTTTTTGAAAAATAAGTAGAGCAGCTGTTAAACTGATCGTTTTGAATTATAGGCCACAAGAACTAGGTGGATCTACAAATGAGGATTGAGGAGTGATTGTGCAAATTAGACTGATTTTACTTTGGTATCTTGTACATAGCAGGATTGTGGCGTTCTTCTCCTCCCAGCATGATGGGTTTAAGGTGGGTGGTTTTCATTTTTTTATATATGCATCAGCACATGTAATTTTTCAGATTTCTCCCTTCGTCTAGTTCAAAAGCTAAAGTTCATAGATTTCTAGTATCCCTTGCACTATATAATATCATGAGCTACTTTTTGATAAGAGTATTTCATTTTTCTTTTATTTGTGCCTTATTGCAAAAAAAAGGTCGTCGTTATTTCTGTTATAATATGTACTTCAATTGTGGTGTTTTTTTCAAAAGCTGAAGTTCACTTTCTATTTGCTAATGCAATGGACGTGATGAAATTGCTTCTGTATTCTATAATATGATCTTCACCTTCATACTACTATATATTATCATCCTCATATCAAAACAACAAATTATCGACTCTTTCAGGAAAAAATGTTTGATCAATTTAGTATCTAAATCGATGAAATTTATTTTGTCAACATTTCTCAGGTTTGGAGCTTGGACAGTTGCTGATTGCTGTAGATAAGATAATAGAAGCAGTTGTGACATAAAGGAGGACTGTTTTCAGATACAACAGTATATTTTAATAGAGAGCACAGCGTGCTAAATATGGAATAAGGTATGATCTCTTTTAATGGAGATGTTTCTGGTTGTTTGTTTTGATTTTCATGAAAGTGTTCATCAAAAATCAAAATTTCTTCTTTTTTGCATCTAACCTTGTCGGTTCATCTTCATGTTTCTCTCTACTTGCAATTCGTATTATTAGTATCCTTGCTGAATAAGGCTACCTAACCTTCCCTTGATGAATCATAAATGGTTTAAACTATCTTTAAAAGATCATGAAATATTTACTTAGTATCTTTTGATTTATTTACTTAGTATCTTTTGCCTTTACCTGCAATAGGGACCTACACAACCGGCAAAAATATTGAGGGTCTTGTTTAGCTTGCTTCAGATAATTTTAGCATATCTTGGTTTGAGGCCTCCTGTGGTGTTTAGTCTTTTCATAGTCTATGTATTGCCTTAAATCTCTCTCTAATGAGGTTTTTTTTTTTCCCTCTGTTGAAGCTCAAAGCTGAAGAGAACGCGAATGAGTGTTTTTTTTTCCTGTGTCGTATAAGCTTCCCCTCTCGAAATGATTTCGGCCGTTGGATCTAATTAATCGACACTGTAGCAAAACCGGTCGGTTATCAAAAACCGTGCCCGATTCGGCGGTCGAACCCCTGGTTCGAGCGGGTTAATCCCGGTTTGGTGCGAAACCGGTTTCCATTTGAACTGTAACCGGCCGGCCAACCGATTCACGGTTCAACCAGTTGAACCGGCCGGTCCGGTCCGATTTTAAAAGCCTTGGCCAAAAGGGACATCGTGTAACAGGTTAGTAACACTTTGTTAAGCACATTTTAAGGTTGACCTATTGATGCATGTGTATTTCTATTGTGATAATGTTTTGCTGTTTTTTCTAGTTCAAAATAAGTCTTCGATGGATCAAATAATTGAAAAGATTTCTATGACAAAAAGGATTTGTGTCAAAATTAGTCTTAAGGTCGTCCAATTTGCTATAAGATGTGTGCAATATAAATGAAAATTTGACTCTTAACTGGACACAATGAAGAACAATGATTCATATAACTGATCTCATATAGTGAGAAACTGTTCATGATTGAAATATAAGTAAACATTGTGTTTTAACTGATTCAAATTTTCTATTGTTTTATTTTTATTTTTATTCACACAATTAACCTTGTTGATAAAATAAATTATTCAGTTTATTTATTTATTTTATCACACATTTGATGGTAAAAAAATTGAGTAATCTTTGGCTTGTTAGATTATAATTTTATTGTCCTAATCAAAATTTAAATTATATTATTGTAAATAAAAATAGTTGTGTAAATTTTATAAATATAAAAAAAGTTCAAGTGTTACATTAAAGCGCCCCTAATTTTTATATATAATAACAAGAAAATGACATAAAATGATGAATTAAAATATTATTTTTATTCATAAAAATATATATAATTAATTAATGAGAGGGTTGGTCAAAAATAATATGAGAGATTTATTTCAATGCCACTAAAATTTTTCTTATTTACAATATTAACATTAAAATCTTTAAAATGAACTAAATAATTTTATATCTGTATGCTATATTAAGCTAGTATTTAAGATGCGCTCTTCAATGTTTATTTGATAGTATTATGAATAAAAATAATGGAATGTTACTAAAACACCCCTAAAATGAGATATTTAGATATTAGCACAAACAAAATTTACTGCAATTCAAATAAACACAAACAAATAATTATCACTATTTAAATGACAAATAAAATCGACTGCAAACTTATTACCAAAAAAAACTGCACAGATCATTCATGCATTTATTCTGTTGATCAGAACAGTATTAAATTCTGCAATATTCAAACTGCAATTTCTAAAAAAAAATGAAAAAAAAAAATTACATTATTCTATTGCAATTTTTGCAAGCTGGGTGAAGAATAATATAATAGATGTCGCCTTTAGCCTTACAAATGGAGCTATTGAAGAAATAATTGAGAACTGAGAGCTTCTACATGAAATTCCATCCCAGAAGTAAAATTGTTTATGTATCCCAAGCACATTTACTTGCTAAGAAATAACTCTGCAGACTTTCACCTGATCATAAAAATGAAAAAAAAAAAAAATTAATTAGCAGGTGGAAGGAGAAAACAAGCTTGCATCTCTACTGTAATCTGTAAGTTGCAAGTATAGAATGAGCATAGCATTACAGTCTGCACAATCGCATAAAGATTGGAATTATTTGTTTATACAATCGGCACCTACTTTGGCTTCCCAGGATAAGCAATGAAGGGTGGCTAACTTGGTTGGGCACCCAAGAAGATGAGGGGAGATTAGGAAACTGATAAAATACGCATCCGATGTTAGAAGTTGAGTGATGGTCGATTAGCTTATTTTTTTTCCACTAAATAGGAGAGGGGACTAGGTGATCGAGAAGCAAGCATCGAACATCAGTTGTTAGCATGCACGGGGCATCGAATATTGTGGTGGCTGGCATAAATCAAATATTCGTTGTTGGTCGTCATTAAGTGACCATCAAAGTCAGTTGAGAGTGAGTGATTGGCTTAGTTATTCTCCTAACAAGAGGGAAGACCTTGTAATCAAGAAGACTAATATTTAACTGCGAACCCGTAACAACCCAAACTATATCATGAGCTGTATTGTCCATTTTGGCATGATTTGTTCCATAAAGGGTTGTGATGCGGACATCCAACCGTCCATGCCAATCCGAGGAGGAGCTGAAGATCGACGACCGAAGGGTTCACTCATCCTAGAAGCGCTCTATTATTATCATGCTAACTTTGGATTTCTTAAGGGAAATACACTCATTATACACAAGATGCTCTTAAGGGAAATACACTCATTATACACAAAAGCATCTTGCATATTTTGGCCTATTTTTTTTTTTTGTTAATATTTTGGCCTATCACTTTACATATTTAGCCAATATCATTCCTCCATTTTTGATATAAGATTATGGTCATTCATGTCTACCTTATTGATCAGAATGATTAGAAGTTTTTCATCCTACTAAGCCTTCGAGGAGTCGTTCCTTATCTAGGCGTTTTTAATTTGAGTATTAAATGCTCAACACTAGGCGTCAACACCTTGTTGATTGTCACCATACATCTATCAAAAAATGATGTATAATGTTCATCAGTCACCAATATAAGAAGCTTATCCTTTTGATCACCTTTCATATTATAAGTAAAATAACCAAGTCAAACACCCTCTATAATCTAAATTTCAACATTCATTATCTTCTATCACCCAATTCTTGTCAACAACTAACATTCTCCACCCACCAACATCAAACACATCTTCCTAGCCACATGATCTCACCTTTTATCTGGTGAATGACCAAATTGATTGGCCAGTGTTGCCGAGCAATCGACATTGTCTTCGAATGTCACTCAACACATGCAAACAACCATCGTTTAACACATATTAGCCACGATGCTCAACACATGCATAATTGGTTGCCCTCTCTTTGCCCCTATCAGGAGAACACCAAATTGATTGCCCATCATCGCCAATATTCGGCATTCTCATCGACCATCACTAATGTCTTCCAGCAACCAACATCCGACATCCATTAGCATGAACAAACGTCTAACATCCTCATCGATTACTGTTCAATGCATATTAATGACTAGCTTCTGAAGCCCAACTACAAATGTCAGATGTTTCTCTTTTTGGTTTTCCAATCACCCCTCATATTGGTAGAATGACCAAGCTAATTGTCTATTCGTTGCCTAAACCCTAGCGTTCCTCTTCGAACAACACTCAACGTTTGCTAAAAATCAACTTCTGATAGTGACAAATATCTAACATACATCCTGCTAGTCACTTGGCATACCCTTTTATTAGTAGACAACAAAGCGCCTATCATTTTTTGAACTTTTGGCATTTCTCATCAACTATATCAGTTGAAATAATTTTCACATCTACCACTACAAGTGAAATCTCCCACAGTTCAGGACACATTGCATCAACTCTTATGGGCACTCTTTATAATTATTGACTAGCATCAATGAAATTATTTCAATTGAACTAAGCTCTGTGATTTTTACCCTTTTTAGATTTTCCACACACACAAAATCTATCATTTTCTGAATGCCACTCTCAACTTATCTATATGAGCATGAGATCTTTGTATAATGCTAAGACATTAAATTATCCTAACAACTATGAATTTTTTAGCATGCACCGATCATCAATAATAATAATAATATCATTATAACTCATACTTCATTGATTTAATACAATTATATTATTATTAAATGTAAAAGACAAAATTGAAGTTGACTTACAAGCCCTTAGATTGGAACCCATTTCTCATCTTTATGAAGATAGCTATCGATTTCAATCTTTCATCCATGTTATAACAATCAAACACTGAAGCTATAACAGTCCAAACTCTTTACTGTCGAGATATTGTCGACTTTGGCCTAAGGGCTTTATAATTTTGCAATGTTTGTGTAACTTTTTAGAATTTATCCTAGATGAGCACACTCAACTGCACAGTTTTTTGATGAAATCCTAACAGTTACATAAAAAGGCACCTCAATGTTTAAGAGTTTAGCTTCTTTTACTTAAAAGATTTCACAATATCTCTCACTTAAGTAACTGACGTCCTCATCAGCATCTTTATCCCAGAATCATCCACCAGCCAGATAGGGTTCTAAAGGTGGTCCCTACAAGTTCAAGTGGTGACTCAACCGCATGACACTTTATCCTATATAGGGTTCAAGAGGTGGCTCCCATGACGCAATACTTTATCTTGTATGCCACTTGTTTTTCATCTTCCAGCTGGTGTATTACTCTAATATCATTTGTAACAACCCAAACTCTTAACTATCGAGATATTATCCGCTTTGACTTAAGGGCCTCGTGATTTTATCATGTTGGTGTAACTTCTGAGGAGGTCATCCATCTTTAGATTTCTCCGGGATGAGCACACTTAAACTGTGGAGTTTCTTAATAAAATTCCAACTATTACACCAAAAATGCCTCAATGTTTAAGAGTTTAGATTCTTTTACTTAAAGGGTTCACATAAGTTCACTCCAAGAAGTGATTTACAATCATTTCCGTTCAGTTAAATCAAAACAAACTAACCCTTAGCAGACCACATGCTTGCATGTTACCGACTATTGAAAAAATCCTGCTACAAAAATTCGGTGCCTTGTGCTGCCTGTCCCTAAGACGATTGGCTGAGGGCTTTGGCCAAACCCAAGATATCTTTGTTTTGAAATTTGGCATAAGCGTGAGGATTTGTGGGTCGCTACTCAGCTTTAAAAAAAATGGCTTGCCATTGATTACGGAGAAGACTCCTATATTCCATCATTGTAATCGCAGTATATGCACATTTTCATTTATCATTTCTAGTACTTTTTAATGAAGTCTTTTTAGGTCTAACTCTACTTTTCTTAATATAGATCAAATTTAATACATCTACTCGTTTAACTGGGTCGTTGAAAGACTGATGTTTATGTGACCAAATCATCTAAGACGACTCTCACTAATCTTATCTGTCATTAGAGCTAATCTAACATTTTCACTTCTATACTCATTTCACATTCTATCTCTAAGAGTAAAGCCACTCATCCACAGCACATCGTATATCCAAAAAATATTATTTGGAGAGTAAAAACTATCTGCATCAAACAAACTGTCAGGAAAATCAACAAACACCTACCGAGCATGATACCTCATTAGCACGAACAGACCCTCTTCAGATTGTCAGCCAACGACTCATTCACCGAGTACTGTAACGATGAGAAAAAAAAAAATCACAAATTAAATAATCTTACAAAAAGAGGATAAAACACACATAAGATGAAAACGGTAGCGAAGTTAGACCTTCTTGAGGACCCAGATAGAGTGGTTGTAGGTGCGGCGAAGGAGATCGGGGAGACTGGAAGGGTCGTCAAGTTTGCGGTAGTTGACGAAATTCTCTCTTGCGAACTTGGCGTAGTACGGCCTTGTCTCCGCCGGAAGCCGGCGAACTAGCCGGAGGACTTCCATGTACGCCCTTAGGGCATCTCCAACCGAAAACTTCATTTTTCACGGCAAAGTAACGCAAAACTCCAAAATGGCGCGGTGATGCTACAATCGAACGCCATTTTAGGTGTTTTTGAGAAGGTAACGATCGCCCTCCCTTTCGCGCGTTTTTCCGGTTGAGAGCAAAAAATGGTGTGAGTGAACAGTGCGACGCCAATATTGGCGTCGCACTGTTCATCCGCGATCAAATGGGGTAAAAAATGGCGATCGGTTGGAGCAAAACAAGAACGGCAAACAAGTGTTTGCCGTTCGGTTGGAGATGCCCTTAGTCCCTTCTCCATTGCGGCAAAGATGAAGAAAGAGTAATTGCTTTCAAACCCGCCCTGTTTCTTTTTTAAATCAGCTCTCCGTCCTCATTGACCGTGGACTAGTTACTCGTCCCCCCATATCTCAGCTACAAAAACCCTAAACCCTCTAGCTCCACCACCGGACCACCGCCATCTTCTCCTCCTCCAAAATGTTATCTCTATCGCTTACCGTCCCCTCCACCTTCACCATCTCACCATCCCACACCCTCTCTCACCGTCCTTTCCTCATACGCGCCCGCACCCAAGAGATCGAAGCCCCTCTGCCGCCGTCGACTTCAGATTCCATTCCAAAGCTAAACCGCTACAGTTCCCGCATAACGGAGCCTAAATCCCAGGGCGGATCTCAGGCCGTGCTATATGGCGTCGGGCTCTCCGACGACGACATGAAGAAGCCGCAGGTGGGGATCTCGTCGGTTTGGTACGAGGGAAACACGTGCAACATGCATCTAATGCAGCTTGCAGCGGCGGTCAAGGATGGTGTGAGAGATGTGGGGATGGTGCCGTTTCGGTTCAATACTATTGGTGTTAGCGATGCTATTTCAATGGGAACAAGGGGGATGTGCTATAGCTTGCAGTCGAGGGATCTGATTGCGGATAGCATTGAGAGTGTCATGGCGGCGCAGTGGTATGACGCCAATATCTCGATTCCGGGGTGTGATAAAAATGTGAGCTTTTTGCATCTTTAATTATGGTTCAGTTTGTGTAGTTTTGAGATTGGAAATTTTATGCAGCACATATCTTGGCCTGTTAGTTGGGAATTTAGGCTTCCAATAAATAGATTTTGAGTTCGATCCTTGTATATGAGATGCGTGTGGATTTGCTATTCAATTCTCTCATGGTGCAAAAAAAAGGAACTTTGGATATTTTGTTCTGTTATTTTAGGTGGTGTCTTTAAATTGTTCCAGTTAAAATGTTTTTTTTTAATAATCGTTGGATGGTAAAAAATGAAAATGCGAGTTTTATTTCTTTAACTTTGATTGTGCGCATTTTGCTTTATAGTATTTATTTCATTTTTATAATTTGCATCTTACGCTATTTTGTTTAGATGCGAATGTTTGAAAGAGTTCAAGTAGCGAGTTTAATTGATTTGAGTTTCGGTAGTTCTTGTTTGTTTTTGCATGAACCAATTCTCTTTAATTCAATTCTTGTAGTTATTTGAGCTGTATTGAGTTTCATGGAAGCGGGACTAAACTAATATTTTGTTATCCTAATTCATAAGGGAGTTTATACTTTGCCATACTAATGCCAACTTGATTAGATTAATTACTTCTCATTTTACATGAACTACTAGTTAGTGATAATTACTATATTGAGAATTAATTAATTTTTATTTAAATTAATAAACTCTGGATTTGAATAATTAATATTTAATTTAAATGCTTGAACTTAACTCTAAAAATGAGATCCAAACGCTTCATGATACTTCTATAGAAAAAAGAGCTAGCTGACTCTTGATGCATGTATAGTCTTCTGATCCATTGTGGTGAGAAACCTGAATATGTAAGCCTTCAACACAATATGCAAGGAAGAAGCATTAAGATTAACATGTATTATTATCATCATTCTCGTCAAGAGTACATGAGCAATACAAAGCTTTGTTGTGGCGCTATAAGGGTAGAAATTGATTGTTTTTATTCTTTATAGGCTGACCTCTTTTGCTTTGGCTTTTAATGTGACACTCAGATGATATATTCTGATGTATCTTTTACTTTTTAGATGCCCGGTACAATTATGGCAATGGGGCGGCTCAATCGGCCTAGTATCATGATATATGGTGGAACAATAAAGGTCAGATTGAAATTACCTTTATAAAATCTTATTGATGATTAAACTTGATTTTATTTATTTAGTGGAATGAAATTATAATTCCAATTAACAATATGTTTTATTTCTTGATAATTTAAGAATTATTTATGCATTCGGATATTGACTAATGATGTCTCTTCATTCTTTCTGTTGACATCATTGAATTAATTTGAAGAAGTGCTTTTCTATTTGAAAATGTTGGGGAGAACTAAAATTTATTATGTAGAGGACTCTAGGTATCCATGATTATGGCTATGTTGGAAAGGTTGACTTTTTTTTTTTCCCTTACACACTTGCTTATGTTTCATTTAGGAAAAGCTAAGTCTTAATAGAATGAATGCCTAATATAATCTCCACCACCTCTAAAGTTTTGTGCACTAGTTAGAGTTTGTCAAAGTTGTGTAGTTGGGTGCATCTCATGACTAGAAATATTTTAACTATTGTGTTACTTATTGCCTACAAACATTACTTTAAAATATAATATCTTGTTTTGATGTTTTGCAGCCTGGTCAATATGAGGGAAAAACATTTGATATAGTATCTGCATTTCAGGTATGTGGTACATGTCTTCTCACAAATTATTTTGAACTTATATCAAGATGAAGTATATTTATTTCTTGATATAATATATTAAACCACCTCATTTTGTTTTGTGTTATGCTTTTCTTCTTTTCCTCTTTTGGTACATCAAATAAGTTTGTGTACATAATTTATATCATTAGAAAGTCTTGTATGGATTGTGCTACCCCATGTTGTTGGTCTTCTACTTCTCTTCATCCCACCACAACACTATATAGCATTTTCAACCATTTATCTTGTTGACTGCATTATGATCTTTGAGTGGCTTTGGTGGAAATCACCAATGTGTACCATATTCAAAATTTTATTCAAGAAGCAACCATTAATCATATCTAAGCTGGTCATCATCATTATTAATCTTATCTCAACTATTTGAGGTTGCTTAATGAATTATCATTCTCCATTTGTTCTTGTTGACTATCACATGAGGTGCTAAATCTATTCTATGGAAGTCTTTTGCACAACTTATGTCCATGTTTTTGTTTTGGTATATCCCTTTCTTTCTAATAATTTTATAATAATTTTACCTCCACATCTTGTAGATGCATTTTTCACCCTTTATTGCACATGTTCAAACTAAAATAAATCTTATTTTCACTAACTTATCTTCAATAGATGATATTCTCATTGCCTGTCTAATCTAGTTATTACTAATTTTACCGTACATCCTTGTTAATTCTTTCATTTTTTACGCTTAATTTAGTTGTCAGTGGTTTTTAATTGCTCAATATTTGAATTCATACAATATAGTCAGCCTAATTGCTTTTTTATAAAGATTGCCTTCAAGTCTTCACAATATTCTCTCATCATATAATACTCTTGAAGCTTTTATTTCTTTTAATCACTCAATAACACTAGAAATTATATTCTCATATGTATTCTATACTTGTATTAATAGGTCCAATATACTTAAAGCTATGAAATCTAAGTATTATTTTATCTTTTAAAATTATTGACTGATAATTATTAATATCATGCTAATTAAATTTTATATCATATCTGTCTTTATTCTACTAATCTTAAGTCTTTATTTTCTAAAATTTTTCTCCATTTTCTAATTTTTCATTTTAATAGATATACTACCTAGGACAATGTTACTGTTAAAAATATATATGAAGACACCTTATCAGGGGTGAAGCATAAATTTTTATTAGTGTGGACATAAATTGATAATTTTCAAATTACTCTCAAACATCTTCGGTTGATTTTTTTTGCTTTTCTATTTAAAATTTTATAGTGAGGTAATATTTTGATCTTTAAAAAGTATTAGTATTTATTTTTATTAATTTATTAAATGATATGTTATGTTAGTTGCATTACCATTGATTTAGGAATAATTGTATTCATGTTATTATAAGAGTTATTTGTTTCCTTATTGATACACCTTGTATAGATCTATAAATAGGGAGTAGATTGCTTAATAAAATTCAAGCTTTTCCCTCTCAAATTCTCGTTTTAACACTACTTAACAATGTGTACCACATACATTTAAATTTTATATTTCCGTGGGCATCATTGTTTTGTCTTATATGGAGGCAAATGTTTATTGTACCTGGTTTTCTAGTGTTGATAGCTTTCTCATTATGGTTCCATACTATTTTTCCTAATAACTTCTCATTCTTTCCATTACTCTTATTCAAGTGGCATACCTTATCTTAATCGTATTCAAAGTGCATGCATTCCATCTTGAAGTTTAATAGAAAATTGTTGGGAAATTTACATACATACCACTTTATTTCATGCTATTTATATATCTAACACTCAAAACATTAATATTACATACATAACACCCATATAAAACTTGAATATCAAATATACCACTCCTATAATTCTTTCATACCATTTATACCATCTATAAACTTTAATATTTCATTCCATGCACTCAAATTTGTTCTACAGGTGATAGGCATGTAATATTAATATTTTGGATGTTAGATATGTAAATAATATGAAATAAAGTGATATGTATGTAAATCCCCCTTTTCCTCATGTCATAAACAAGGTCTATGTGACATGTTCTTTTTTTTGGTTGAGATTGTTTCTAGTGCTATGGAGAATATGTTAGTGGCTTAATCACTGATGACTATAGAAGAACTGTTTTGCGTAATTCTTGCCCTGGAGCAGGGGCATGTGGTGGCATGTACACTGCAAACACCATGGCTTCTGCAATTGAAACAATGGGCATGACACTCCCCTACAGGTACTAGCCCTTCCTAAATGTTAATACCTTGAACACAGGGTGTAAGTGTATAATATTTTGTTTTTTTGTTTTTTTTGTTTCATTCATAACAAAGCTCATCAACGCCTGCTGAAGACCCATTGAAGTTAGATGAATGTCGTCTAGCTGGGAAGTATATGTTGGATTTGTTAAAGATGGACTTAAAGCCTCGAGACATCATAACAGAGAAATCACTACGTAATGCAATGGTTGTAGTCATGGCTCTTGGTGGATCTACTAATGCTGTGTTACATCTGATTGCTATTGCTAGGTGGGTGTGCTTTCTTACATGGGATACTGATAGGAAATACTTGAGTTCGCAAGTAATCCTAAGGGAAATACTTGAGTTCGCAAGCAAATTTATCACTAATTTGTGAAAACAGAGAATAATGCAAAATCTGGGCGGAAAACAGCCCCCAAACGATGGATTGTAATAAGAGAATCGAAGCCAAACAAAGACAAAGCAAGATACAAATGATCCTCAATTCGAGAGGAGGATCGTTCTCTCCCAAATCTCTAGACAAAGCAATCTAGAGCCAAAAATCCCAATAACTCCAAGAGAAAACTCAATTCATGCATAAAAAACTCCCTCCCCAAAACAAAATCCCCTATTCATACAATTAATTTCTTAATTCAAATATCTCTCATTCAAATTTTCCCTCTTAAAATAGCCTCCCAAAACCCCTCCCCATTCCTTCAAATGGGCGGCAGCAATAAAGGAGGCAGACCCCCCTTTGTCCGCCTCCTATACACATGAGCCGGCCGCTGGACCAGCTCTTGGGCCGGTTCAGGGTGAACCAGCCTATCAGATACATGGTAGATCATCAGTCCAATTACATTTTCATGGTTTCTTTTGTAGGTCTGTAGGTTTGTATTTGAGTCTTGATGATTTCCAGAAGGTCAGTGATGCAGTCCCTTTGCTTGCTGATCTCAAGCCCAGTGGTAAATATGTGATGGAAGATTTGCACAAGGTATGCTCAATTGGTTCTTTACTTTTAATACATCAAAGTTATAACTAACATCATTATTTCAGATTGGGGGAACACCTGCAGTGATTCGATACCTCTTGGAAGAAGGATTTTTGGAAGGAGATTGTATTACTGGTATGTGCAAAGATATTTTTCTAAGTTATGTACTTGAAATTTTAATTGTTTACCTTACTAAAATGCCTGTATGTTAGTCACGGGGAAAACTCTTGAAGAAAACATGAAACTTGTTCCTTCTTTAGCTGAAGGACAGGTATGTTGTTTGCTCTTGATATTGTTGTTGGTTGATCACCTCCTTTTGAAATCTTAGTAACTTTTATGGCTTTGATTTTCAGCACGTAATACATCCGATTGGGAACCCCATCAAAGCAACCGGGCATATTCAAATATTGTATGGGAATCTTGCCCCAGAAGGTTCTGTTGCTAAAATTACAGGCAAAGAAGGATTGTATTTCTCTGGTGCTGTTCATGTCTCTAGTCATTTTTTTTTCTTAGGTAATCAATTGAGCGTAATTATATTTCTCTGGTTGCTTGACAGGGCCTGCCCTTGTTTTTGAAGGCGAGGAATCCATGATTGCAGCTATTTCAGATAATCCTATGAATTTTAAGGTTTAATATTTTGGATTTTTTGTATGTTAAAGATGATACAATTATTTAGAGTACTTATTGAACTGTTTAAATTTTGGTAAACCTTAAATTCTGATTTTAGACTTTTTTCTTTTGATGTTTTTCTTCCTGTCTCCAGGGCAAAGTAGTAGTTATAAGAGGAGAAGGGCCCAAGGGTGGCCCTGGAATGCCTGAAATGTTAACACCTACAAGTGCAATAATGGGGGCTGGTCTTGGGAAGGTATTGTCATAATAGACTAGAAGTTCTCATACTGAATAATTAATAATTACGAATTCTTTGTGCGCTTTTAGCATTTTCGATCAATTATTGTTGTTTCTGACATATTGGATCATGGAAGATTGCTATCTTGCAAAGAAATGTTTTACTTATTTTGCACGTTCTTCTTCTTTCTTGGTATATTTGATAAACTAAGGCATTGTAATCTAGTATATTGAAAAAATTATTTCCAGTTCAAGGCTTTTTATAAAGATTTGTTAGCTTGAGCTTAATATTTTACAGGTTCCTTTGTGTAATACCATCTGAGCTTACCCCATTACTATGTTGTCTGCTTGAAACTTCAGATTGCAAACCAAAACAGTTCAGTTTGGTGAATCATTTAAATTCATTTTTTTTAAAGTTAGATCCTCTTTATCTTTTCTTTCTTTTCATTTCTCTCATGTTCAAATTTTGTAGGAGTGCGCGTTGCTGACTGATGGCAGATTTTCTGGAGGATCACATGGATTTGTTGTTGGTCATATATGTCCTGAAGCACAGGTATTTCATTTTTGACATATCCTATAAGATAAAAAAAGAAAATTTTAATGGGAGGGTTATCTGATGAACTTGTGAAAATTGAGATTTCACATTGGGAAAACTGCCTAAGTGAAGACTTGAGAATGATTTAGCACATAATACATGTCTTTGATTTATAATTTTCAGAGTAAGTCCTTACCAAGGGCTTGTTGTGTGATAAAAAAGTACCCCTCAAACTTAAGGGAAAATTCTATAAGATGGTGGTGAGGCCTGCAATGCTTTATGGTGCCGAATGTTGGCCATTAAAAGAGAAGCATAATATTAAGTTAAGTGTGGCAGAGATGAGGATGCTCAGGTGGATAAGTGACTTTACCCTTGGAGATAAGATACGAAATGAGCATATACGTGAAAAGGTTGGAGTAGCTCCAGTAGAAAATAAGATTAGAGAGAGTCGCCTTAGATGTTTTGGTCACAGAAAGCGGCAACCTTCCAATGACCCGTTTAGGAAAGTAGCGGTATTAGATTTGACTTATGTTAAGAAAGACTTGGTTAGAAAATATTAGAAATGATATTTCTTTATTAGATTTAAACGAAAATTTGACTTTTAATAGGCCACAATGGAGAAAAAAGATTCATGTAGCCGACCCCACATAATGGGATAAAGGCTTGATGTTGTTGTTGTGCAAGTCCTTACAAAGTGTATGTTGTAAAGATCTAGTAAAGTTTGATCTCCATTAAATTGAGGTCGTTTTCATGACTAAAGTGTAAACAATGAAAAATCAAATATTCATCTTTGCTATAAAAGCTGCAAATCAATAAGTAAACTATCCATTCATATTTATTTCGCATGAACTATAATGTATTTTCAATCCCCTCCTTTCAGGATGGAGGACCAATTGGGCTCATACAAAATGGTGATGTAATTACAATTGACGTTCAGAAGAGAAGAATAGATGTTCAGCTGACAGATGAGCAGCTTACTGAGAGAAGAAGAAAATGGAGCCCCCCTCCTTACAAGGCAACAAGCGGAGTTCTTTACAAGGTACCATAATTTTCTGCACTGCCTGTAGCTTCTTTCTCATCTGAAACTCCATTCTTTTTCTTTGCAGTATATTAAAAATGTGCAAGCAGCCTCTAGAGGATGTGTTACAGATGAATAGGCGACATTCTTCCAGTTTATTTATTAACTTTTAATCTAATTTCTTAAGTTTTTGAGGGGGGGCTGATCTTCTTCTGGACATTCTTCTAGTTAGTCTTATTACCATGCAGAAACTTTCTTTAGTCCCCGAAGCAGCTTTTACAAGGTATTTAATAAATGATTTGTAATTTTGTCACTGTACAAGTGCTTCATTTAAAATATTGAACTATTGAATCATATACATTATGGGCATGTAGTTTTGAACATGGTGTAGCTTATTTCACCAATTTTTAACAAGATGGTTTTTTTTTTTTCTATTTGAATTTAATGTCGCAATGGATACTATATACCTCCTATTTATTTGTCTTTTATAAAGATTGCTTTCTTATTGTGTCTTAAAGTAACTTTTTAGTACAAAAATTAAAGTCTAAGGATTCATTTGGGACGACTTTCTTACTGTTTCTTAAGGCAGCTTTCTAACAAAATTAAAATTTTTATACTAAAAAACTGCTTTAAGAAGCAATGCGAAAGTTGGGAGGGCTTTTCTTATTGCTGTTTAAAACAACTTTTTAGTACAAAAGTTATCCAACTTTATTTGCATCACAAATAAATCAACAGAGCATTTATGCAACCAAATGAAACCAGCAATGTATCATTATATTATTTTCAGTTTTTCTTGTTTGGCATATCTCAATTTTAATTCATTTGAGAAAAATATATAAAAAAAGCCTTAGAAATAATCACAAAAAATAAAGAACTTATGTTGAGGATGCCTTGGTGGACTGAGTTTTCTTCATGGAGCAAGATGTCTTGAAAGCTTCAATATGTGCCTGGCACTTCACATAGTCTCCCTTGTTTTCCTCTAAGCATTTTTTCAGAGCTTCTACATCACAAGCAGATAATTTCTTTATAACACCCTTATTTCCATCTCTTTCCTCCATACTGCTGCAACACCAACCACCAAACATATGAAGAAAATTAGGATGCAGAGTTCAAGATTTATTTGACATTTCAAAGCAATAATTGCTGTGCATATCTTTAATTGTAAAGGCCACCTTACATCTTTTATATATCACAATCAGCATATTGTGGTTTATTTGGGACAGTTATAATTGTTATGAGAGATAAATTTTTAAAGTAATTGTGCATCTTAGGCTTCGTTTGGGATGACTTTCTTACTGCTTCTTAAAGTAATTTTTTTAGTATGAAAATTAAAATTTTGTATTAAAAAGATACTTTAAGTAGTAAAAAAGCTGTCCCAAACAAAGACTTAATTTTGATCAAATTTGTAGGAGTTTTTAATTTTGATCAAATTTGATATAGTTGGGTCTTCAATTGTAGCATAAAAATTTATTTGCTCATTGATTTGTTTCAACTTCAAATTTCTCATCAATTTTTTTAGATTAATCGATCAAAGCACTTTCTACAACTAAAGAATGTGAATTGTTAAGTAGTTAGAGTTAATGGCCTTTGATTTATGAATATTTCTTCTATCTGCGGATCTACATTCATTATATCATTATTATTGCATGAAAAACCCTAGACTATTTAGCATCTTGGATCACATGGGAGTTTGGGGGAAATATTATTTCTTGTGCTTCTCGGATGAATGAAGTTAAGCAGAATTTGAGCAGGATTTGAATTAAATCTTGCCAAACGCCAAAATGCGGATTTAGCCGAAGAAGTGCGCGAACGGGAAGAAAAATCGTTACCTTCTCCGCGAGCTCCCTTCGCGACTTCCGATCCGACCAGAACAACGACGTCGTCAGAGGAGGCGGAGAGGCTTCATTTAGCGACTCTTGTTTACCTCAACCGACGCCGAAGCAGCAACGCAACGAGGAAAAGCAAACCCTAGATGGCCCTTGGGCTAGACAAAACCAAAGAGAAAAATTTTGCTTCTACCAGCTTTTCTTCGCTGACAAGGATAAGTAAAATTTTTAATTTATTAATTTTAATATTTAATTAATTAGTATTTGATTGTGAATTAATTTAATGATAGTAAGGGAAGAGAGAGAGAAAGGTAATAATAGAAATTCTTTTAGATTATCATCCTTTAGAGTTATTCTCTCTCTTATTTGTCTTGAAAGATTTAGGCCTTCATTTTTTTAGTGCATTTAGATGTACTTGTGTTTACGAAAGAGTAATTTGTATGTAGCTTATCTTCATTTGTTGGTTGAGAGTTTTGGCTGTCAATTAAGAGATCTTGGATTTGAAGATTACACATGTGATGTGTATGAGTTTGCCTTAATTGGCCTAAACACCCCCACCAAAAAAAAAATAAAATAAAACAAAACAAAAAAAGTGTAATTTCTTGTAACATTTATCTGTACGCAATGTAACTTCTCAATATTTGATCAGATCCTCGATTTTTCTTATCATAACTCTTCTAATATCCTCTATTTAAAGACTAATAATTCATATATTATTCTTATAAATAATGGCTTATGTGTCTTGACAAATATTTTTTTTATTGAATGTCATCTTGATTGGTGGAAGCGACAATATTGGGTTTGATCAGTGTTTTTTTTAAACTTTTTAAAGGTTTTAGCTAGTTGAGACATTCAAAAAATTTTCTCTCCATTAGAATGTTGGCCTTGAAGGTGTTTTATAGGGTGTAATTATACAGCTAAAGCTAATTTGGTGAGAAGTGCATCTTTGATATCTAAATTGTTCATACTTTTTATGTTGGGGAAGCCAATTAATTTCTCATTATGAATTATTATATTTAGTTGAGAATTGTTTAAATTACTTATGATGGACGCCTATGGCTTTGTCATCAATTATTTATGCACATAATCAATGAATAAAATTGGTCGAGGAACGGACTTTTTTGCATCAAAGAGGCGTAGAAATGTATAGGGTGGAGGCCTCTAAGAGAAATATATCATAGTAACTATGGGTCCACTTCTAAAATTTGATATGCTTCAAAAGCTTATTGACTGTGCATGATAGTCCTATAGTGATCAATATGTTTGTAAGGATCTAAAGCTCGATCATAAGGATTAATTACAAGCAACATGAACCATACTAGAATATGATATTATAGAATTGCATCAGTTAGATAAAATAATTCTTAAAAGCTTTAACAAGGGATGAGTTAATTTTTATCTCTCAAAGGAATTTCTTCTTGCATAAGGAGTCGAAGCTCATCTCTTATAACATTATGAGGAATGTCAATCAGAGAAGATTGGACTATAAAATATGGCTTACTTGCTTGGCCACTTACAATTGCAGTAGAGTTGGAGGGAGAAGTAGTAGATGAATAATAATAATAGTTATATGATGGCAGACATGCAATGATGTTAGATAACAACGACCAGGTGATGATAATTGGGTGATAGTAGTTGGGTGATAATGATCTATCAATGACAATCAAACGACGATAATAACTGACGGCGATCTTTGACTTTTATTTATAGTTCTTTGGATATCCAAGCTTTCTTTAAACTCTAATTTAGGCCTCTTTCACATAAAGAATGTGTCTTTTTATAGTACTTTAATAGTGATATTTTGATAAATTAAGCCAAAATTTCATAATACTGTATTAGATAACTTATTTTCAATCTTTTGATAATAGATCATTTATTCAAATTTTAAGTACTTCAAAAATCTCAAAATAAATTGATCATGGGCTCATTGCTCATATGCATGTAAATTTTGAAAACTATTTGATTATTCAATTAAATTTTTAAAAAATTTTCAAACAGAGTTTATTTGAACTCAAACTAGATCTTTTTTGGTGTCTTTGGATTCAGTTTGTTGAGCTGTTCAATGTGACTATAAATTTATTGAAATCGAAGCTCACATCATCCTAAGTTTAACTTTGAAAATTTCTAATACAAATAATGTATCGAGATTCTTACCAATCAGATGACAATGAATAAAGTAAGCTCAAGCCAACATCAACTTGTCTTTTTGTATTCGACTAATTAATAAAGTTTGAGTTCAATTTTATGAGTTTTGGTCAATTTAACAGCCAATTCATTTATGACAAAAGGAAAAATATGATTCTAATTCAAATTATTTTATTATTTGCGAAGGAACCGTTCTGAGACGCTGGAATCGGACCCAGAATCGATGTGTTTGGAAGAGGGGGGAATTCGTTGGTCTCCATCAGGGAGAGGATTAACCTCTCCCGATCGGAGGAGCGAGGGCGGCGCGGAGAGCAAGCCTGAGAACCCTAGAATCGCCAAAATATCCCAGAGCACTCAGACGAAAAAACCTTTTGTGTGCTTATAGTTGCCTTCCACATTAATAATTTTTAATTAATCGATTCATAAGTCAGAGTAGTTTGATTGCGGTCTAATGTACCTGCGAGGCCATGCAATCCTATTTTCCTCCACAATAAATGCCAGTTCAAAAAACAGCGATGTGTGCATTCTGAGAGACCAAAGTTTGATAACCGGTTCCGACGGACAACAGAACGACCATGGATTCAAAAATCCCAGCAGCCCAAACCCCATGCCTAACGGCTTCTTTCCAAATCCGATATCAATAACCCTACCGGAGACGCTCCATCACTTTCTTCTCAGGCTCTCTCTCTCTCTCTCTCAGAATTTCTTTCCTCGCCTGCAATCTCTCCGGGGCCTTTCTGGCAAAACTGCCTCAAGCCATGGACTCTTCGCCAGCTCGGAGGAGCAACGAGAAATTTGCGGGGCCGAAGCCCGCAGCGAGGAAGGGAGTTCGAGTCGTCTGCAAAATCAGGCCATTTACGGAATCCGAGAAGCACTGCTCAGATAATCCTTCTAAAATTACCATTTCTAGAGGAAACAACCATGCCTCCGTTATATTGCATGATCAAGCGAAAGGGTATGGAATCCTTCCCTAATCCTTCATTTGTAGCAGATGATGAAGTACGGGTTTTTGATAGTTCATCTCAATTAGTGAATCTTGATTTATTTTGTGATTTGATAATGTGGTTTAGGGTTGTAGAGGCTATTGGTAGCAAACAGGATTTACGGAGGCATGATTTAGTTTATCTTACAAATATGGATTTAATAAACCTTACGAATTTTAAATTGTGAAAACTGTTTGGTTGTCAATATCTTTGATACGAGTTAAATCTTGAAAACTGTATGAAATCAAGAGTATTTATTTACTAAATACTGTACCTTCAAATGTAATGGCAGGATTTACCAAATTCAAGATTGAGGTAAAATAAAACTAAATTCTGGACTTAAGAAAGTCTAGAAAAACTAGTCCACAAATTTTACCTAAAATCCAGTGTAAAACCTGCATTAATCCTTCAAACAAAGAGGCCGTTAGGTTAATGGAATAATGATAGAAATTGCTATATTCTTTTTTTGTTTGGAGCGTTCTTCCACAATTTGATTGGTTTGAACGGCCTGAAAACTTAGCATATGATGCCTTTTCCTTGGAAAGTGTCATGACATCTATTCAATTAGATAATTTATGAATATGAATTCCTAGCATAAGATGAAAGATTATTATTTTTGGAATAAAATAAACCAAAACAGCTAAACGAAACAATCAAAATTATGAAAAAGACCCTGTTTGTAACGCTGTTGATGAAACTTTTTTCCATTTCTGGACCCAGCAGTCGCAAAGATACTTACATACTGGATGACTGCTATGAACAAGATGAGAGCAACAGTAAACTCTTTGCTCATGAGGTGAAGCCTCTCCTTGAGGGCATTCTTCATGGTGATAGTTGTTGTGTTATTGCTTATGGTGTTCAAGGAAGTGGGAAAACCCAATTGATTCAGGTTTGTTTTATTGCTTATCGTGACTTCTAATAAGCATCAACATGTAGCTTTGTCTATATGTACAAATGTTTCTGCATTTCATGTATTTTATCTCATTATTGAATACATAGGGATCTGTGGAGACTCCCGGTCTTGCAATGATGGCATTTTGTGAAATCTTTTCTTCTATTGAGGAAGTTGGTGGCTCTATGACCATATCATGTTATGAAATGTATAATGATCATATATATGATCTATTGGATTGTAAAGAGAAAGAGGTCCAGATTATGGAAGATGCTGAAAAGGCAATTCAACTGAAAGGACTTTCTAAGGTGACATAAAAAATTTTGTGATATAATATTCTAGGACATGAACATCGAAGTTATTTCTCTAGCATTTGCATATTTCTTAGTTAAATTCCTTTTCAGATCCCTGTGAAATCACTCTCAGATTTTGAGAAATATTATTTTCACATAAGCAACCAACGAAATCATCCACAAAAGGTTGAAAATGATCCCAGAGTTAGAAGTCACAAAGGCTTGATTATGCATGCTACATCGGTTGACAAGGAATCAAAAGTTTCTCTTGTTGGAAAGCTAAACTTCATGGAATTGGCAGGTAAGGTTGTAAATTACTTTGACCTCAACTTTTTTTTAAAAAAATTTGTTTCTTTATTTATGATATGTATTTTCATGTTATTCTGTTTGAAATTAGGATATGAGGAAGTTCGAAAAAGGACTGATGGACAAGCTCCTTTATATGAATGCATTAAAATTAATAAGTCACTCTATGCATTGCATAATGTTGTGAGTGCGCTAAATCGTGATGAAACATACATTCCCTATCGAGAAACAAAATTAACTAGATTGTTGCAAGATTTTTCATGTCGCGTGAACAATGCAGTGCTGATAACATGTTTGGTGAGCTTATATTTTTTATCTAATTCAGATGTCTGTAAATGCTTCAAATGATTCTTAATTTACTCCTGTTTATTTAATGCAGAGTCCCAATTTATGCCCACAAACTTTTCCTGTGATTAGCTTGGCTTCCAGGTCATGCCAATTTGTCAATAGACAAAAGCACGACCTTGCAATGACCAGTAAAGAATGTAGAAGATATTTTCCGACAAGTTCTTCTGTTGGTGGAATCCATCCATTTGATAAAACAATAATAAATGGGGGAATTTATCAAGTGGGATCAAGCAGAAAGAAGATAAAAAAAAGCATATCCACAAGTAATGGAAGGTATAATCTTTAAATCTCACTAGGCTCTGGTTGGAGTTCTGTTTAATGTCAATAATTTCTATGATATAATCAAGGTTTGCGATGATTAACAAATTCGTTCTTGATATAGATTCAAAGGCCATGGTAATAGAATAAAGAAACCCACTCCACCCCCATGTTGGTCAAAGGAAAGGTATGAGTTATACATGAATAATCATATTTTAAATAAAACAAACATTTGGTCATTGTGTATTTCGTTTTGTTCTTACAGAAAGTTGTTTAATGTTGCTAGTCCCCTTGGAAAAACTCAGAAACTGGCAAATCTTTGCAAAAAAGAGGTAATAGTCAAATTAAGCTTATTCTTTGTTCTTTAATAGCTACATGGCTTGCATAAATTGAGAGTATATTATCAAGTCTAAATTACTGATTATAAAAGCAGATTGGGTATGATAGTTTTTATTGATTTTGTTCAATTAAAACATTGTAAATTTCCCTGGCTTGTTTTTAAATTATTATAAACACAACCTAGCAATGTATGGGTAACTTCTTGTTTTAGGTAATTCTCATTTTCAATTATTTGATGATTTGATCTCAAATTATAATGCAGTATTGTTCTTTGTATGCATGCATTACTAATCATTATCACAATGAAATAATTTTTATGGTCTAAACTTGAGCTTAATTAATGTAGGGGATTGCTGCATCCAATGTTGTTTTGGCTTCTTCTACATTGGAAGTGGTATTATTTCACTATGCTTAACTTAAGTTTCTGAACTTTGAAATTTTTCTATTGTAAGATTTTTCAGCTTAATTGGTATTATGCAAGAAAACTCCCCACTAGCTAGAATCACAAAGCTGTCTATAACTGTAGGATATTGTTAGTTGCTTGCACGTTTGAAAAATAGTGATACTGCAATTTAAATTTCAAAGACATGCAGGAATTGAAGTTATTTGATCCTTTTAACTAAAGTAAACGTTTTTATGGAAATTTTGAGTTGAGAACAAATCATGAAATTTATTTATCTACTCTACATATCTAGCTTGTATTTTTATGTCATCTGATTTGATGTATCATTATATTTTAATAAAATATTGTGCAAGTGTATTAAATCTCTCTCTATTTTCAAAGGATGTTTCCATTCCAGATGATCATATTGAACAAAGTGTTGATAGTCCTCTTGCAATCGACATTAAGGAATCTCATAGCCTGGAAGGTATGCTAAATAATTCTCTGCAGATAATATGCAAATGTGGCCAACTATTTAGTTTAGGTGTTTCCTAAAATGACATCTTTTTGGCTGTTTTTGCAGGTAGTTCTATGGAAAATGAACAGCAGAAGTCATGCTTTGAAAATGTTAAACTTTTACCAACCTTAACTGAACAGCTAAGAACTCTGAGCTCTCAACCCATAAACATGTGCGAATCAAAAACAGGTAGTTCATGTAACATGCAATTTACAGTGGATAGTGTGGAGCCTAAAACTCCAAGATTTTCATTAAGTTCAAAGATCAACTGTAATTCAAAATTTGAGAGTTTTGCAACCCCGCAAGAGAAGTTTAAAACAAGAAGTACTAGACTGAAGGTGACCACATTTATAATTTGTAATGATTTGTTCTTACATTTCATGATTTTTTGCATATTTTTATTTCCCTTATCTTTGTATGTTATTTAGAAATCGCTGGTTGATGAATACTTGGTTTTCTTAAACAGTGCTAGCAAGTGAGTATTCTCATCCTCGGTTTAAATTACTTTTTAGTAGTGTTGTTGGTTAAATGTATAGTTTGTTATTCATTATAGAATGTCCAATCTTTTGAAGCAAGATATATCACTTTGTTTTTCGATTTAAAAAAACTATTCAAATCAAACTCTATATGTTGATTTTCTTTCTCAATATCATTCTTATTCATTTTACTTTGACCAGAAAATATAATATTTTTATGCTCTCAAAAAAGTTGTAGCTATAGAGTAAAACATGTGTATGTGCACATACAAAGATCTTGTGATTCTTGAGTAAAATACCAAGAAAAGAAAAAGGCTCGAAGGAGCATGCAAAAAATTTGTTTTACTTGAAGAATATTAATTTGGACTAGGAACTAGATTTTATTGTTCATTGACAATACGTTATGATCCATCCAAGCATTAGAAATAGATAGCTCTTATGCCATACAATACAATCCTTTTTTTAATGATACTCTAAATTTGCATGATCAATAATAATTTTTTACAAGGAAATTTATATATATACCACAAAATTCTCATTTATTTATATATTTAATACATAAATTTTTATCTTATATAATACTCAAATATCTAAATCATATCATATCTTATAAACTATGTATGAAAATATGTGTTTTACTTTAAATAAGTTAAAATTCTCACTAATTTTAACTTATTTAAAGTAAAACACATATTTTCATACATAGTTTAAATATGATTTAACACTAAAGTCATATCTAAGTAGATATAAAGGTTTAGATATTAGATGTACATAAGAATTTTTTGGTATTTATGTAAATTTCCCTTTGTTGTATTTGCAATAAGTTATTTTCCTTCAATTTGCCACACTATATGTTGTGAAATGGGTAATCAATTAGATTTGGTGGAAGTTGACAAAGTTAAGTGTTTTTTGTTTTATTTTATTGATCAATTTAAAAGAAACTAATGCTTTCATATTTGTCTTTAAACTCTTTATTCATAGGGAGGAGCTCAAGCAATTGAAGGTCAACTCAAGACTTTTATTTATAACTCGATGTATTTATGTGGATCTTATTATGGCCTATTGATTGGAAAGGCTATTTTCTTGTAGGGAATTGGGGAGAAGAGAGCAACATATATACTTGAACTTCGTGAAGAGACTCCTGAACCTTTCAAGGAAGTAAGTAGTCATTGTAGGAACAATTTTTACCTTGCTAACATATTCCCTTGTCTACAAACTTGCTGAATCAAAATCTAATTTTGTTTGTCTCTTACTAACCAGATTGATGATCTTAAAGGATTGGGTCTTTCTTCGAAGCAGGTAATATTTTCATTTTAATGACATTCTATTTCAAAATCATTTAAGAGAGTTGATAAAGAAAGAGAGATGCAGAAAAAAAAAATGAAATTATGTAAGATAATTCTACTAGACTAAGCGAAGAGTCTTTGATGAAGCAATGATTTGCAATTATCTGGTATGATCCTAACTAATTCAGCAAAAGTTTCAATAGGACCTAAAACTAGAATGATTCTTTCCTTTGAGGATGCCAAAGAAAATAACTTAATAGAGTAGAGAGTTGGTGGTCTGATTAGAGTGCATAATGGCCCTCAAATGATGAAAATGCTCAAAGGTGGAAAGGGCCCTTCAAAGAAGTTGCAATTTATGGAAAAAGAGTTATACCTAAATACCTCCCATGGCCCTTCAAAGAAGTCACCATTGAGGTGGAAATTATTCTACTTTACTACCTCCCATGGCTACAACTCTTTCCTCATTTAGGCTACACGACTCATCACAGAGGTTGTTGTGATAGATTGCCTTGTTATTTGACTAGCAAAGATTTACCACACCTGCAGTAGGATTGATTAAGGTTTCGTTTGGGACGGCTTTCTTACTTCTTCTTGAAGCGGTTTTCTAGTTCAAAAATTTTATTTTTTGAATTGAAAAGTCGCTTCACGAAGCAGTAAGAAAGCCGTTCCAAACGAAGCCTATATGTTTCATCATCTGTGGATACTGGATTGGTAGAGTTAATAGCATTTAGAAGATATGTGTGTGGGGTTGCTCTATTAGCTACAACAATATGATCCATTGCTGGTTAATGGATGGATAGATACCTGTTGAGATCTTGCTATGTTATTAGGATCCTCTTAATTGATATGAATTTTTTAAAGGCTTCTGAGAGAGTTAATATCTTTGTAGGGTTGTAGCATTAATTGTATATTGGAAATTTTCATACCTATTTCCATTCTTCTTGATTATCCAAAGTCACATACTTCTTCAACCATTTAGGATCCTCTTAATTGATATGAATTTTTTTAAAAAATATGTTAACTAAACTACTTTGATAATTCCTACAATTCTTCCAATCAATGTGGAGTTCATATGGAAATGAAGTCTTGATTTATCATTAGTATTACATGAACTTATTTTCGGGATTGATTTATAGTTTAATTCATGTTTTATTTTCATGATTATTTAATAAAAAAATATCTTCTATAAAGTAATATTTTCCATCTTTTTACATCTTTTTTTTAATTAAAAATGTACTATCATCACTTTGTATGTTAATTTTTTTCCTATTTCATTTATTCTTCCTCTGCAGATCAAAGGCATGATGTCAAAAATACTTGCAGATATCTAGCGAAACTTTGTTTTATGCACTACCATCTTTTAATGAGGTAGTAAGGTAATTTAAACTACCGATGTATTAAATCTTGTTGACATACATTTTTTTGGTACCCTTTCTATCTTCTTCTTAGTGAAACTCTAGCTTCAAGAAATTTCTTCATTATCTTTTCTCCTGGTTTTTGAACCACTTACAACATAGTCATACTTACAAGGTGTGGTCAATAAAATCTGAGCAAAGTCTCAAAGGTAATCGTTGTTTTAACATTGCTTAACTTTCATTACCAAAATTGTTTAATTACATCCAAATTTCCTTATTTATTGAGGCTTTATGGTCAATCAAAGTATGTTTTTCCCCATTGTTTTGCTTGCTCACACCCTAATGCATATTGAACTTCTTCTCTATCATGAAACATGTATTTTCCCAATGTTTTTTAATGGATCTTTGTAAAATTCAAGTTCCTTGTCTCTCTAAACAAAGATTTTTGTGGTGTTCTTTTTGGCATCCATATAAGCAATAAACCTTTGGAGACACCAAAAATCAATTCCTTTAGAGATAATCAAGCTCTTAGTGTTTTTACTATCCATAGGTTATTTAGCTTTAAGCTTCCCTTATTTCCTTAGATTAAGGACTACCAATGTGAAGGATTATTAAAACTTTGGTTTATGAAAATCTTCCTATAAATTTATAATTGCATTCTTCCTATTCCATGATTATTGTGCCTCGATATAATAAAGAAGACCAACCATAGATGCTTGTAATGATGCAACAAAATTTTTTTTTATTGAATTCTTTCAATGCCCCTATGAACTTTATGACATGTTTTCTTTAGGAAAAATTTTCGAAACGAGCATGGTTTATGTCACATTTAGAGGAAGGAGCAGTTTCTTAAAAAAATTTAAAAACGAGCAGATGCGTCACTCGATTTGGCGCATTCTTTGAATGCACCGAACAAATTAGTGCGTTCTTTGAAAGCGCTATTACATTGAGTGCATTCTATAGAATGCGTTAAATAAGATGGCAAATTCATTGTGATCCGCTGTCTGGCCTGCTCATTTTTTATATTTTTCTTGTCCGTAGCAGGGACAAGATCCGCTTAATCCGCGACCTCGCGTGGAAATCAGTGACCTCGTTTTATTCGGGTGGGTGGACGGTAAGGCTGAAGGAGGATTGCTTATAAATAGGGTGTTGGCGTGTTGAAGGAAATGCACTTCACAGACTTCAAGTCCTCTGATTTCAGAAGAAAAGATGAGTTTGTTTTAGTTTTATTAATGTTTTTATGTTAAACTTCTAGTATTATTGTTATAGATTTTATCATGTGTTGGTTAAAGAAAGATTGTATGTTGAAGTTCTAAAAATTTTGTTATAATAAAAAAACTTTGTATTTTTTTTTTGTAGAAAATATTATGTTGAAGTTGTTGAAATTTTGTTTATGTTAAAGTTAAGGTATAGCTCCTCAAGTGAACTTATTTCGTAGTACTCATGATGTAGGACTACACTGCTTAAAGTAATTTGATAAGAGCTTTCACGATTTATTGATTAGAATAATAATGATTAGAACTATTAGCAAATAAAAATAACAAAATAAAACGTAAGAGGTTAAGTTTAGGCTAAGTTATACAATAAGCACTTGAATTATCAAAATAACAAGAGGTTCAACAACATGCAAATGTAATAGATTTCAACCAAAATTCCCTAATCTAACAATAAGATTAGAAACAAATGAAGTGCACTCAGTCCCTACGTTTACTAAGCTCGGCAGAGTTTGGTGAACAAGATCTTCATGAATCACCTATAACCACAATTGAAAAGAGACTAAGAGATTAAAGATTTGGAGGAGAGTTTACCCAAATAATCAGAGGATACGAAGCTTCCGATTTGATCCCAAAAGCACTGGAGGAGGAGTAATCCGCGATGTCAGGGTTTGGGAACCTTGAGGTGGGCAATCATTGACTTCTTGGACAGCAGGGCAGCAAGAATAGGCCAACAAACTGAGTGGACATCAACTGGGAACTTGTAGACAACAACAAGTGATGGTGGGAAACTTTTTTTGGCACTCAAAGACTTCCAACAAAAGTCCAAATATCAATCTGGGCGGCGGGATAGTAGTTTGTAGGGGTGTCAATTCGGGCCAACGGGTCGGGTTCAGGTCAAACTCGGAACTGGCCCGACACAATTCGGGTCAACCTGAACCCGACCCGATTTTAAAAATTGGTCAGGTTTTCAGACCCGAATATGACCCGATACAGGTCCGGGTCAATCCAAACCGACACGAATGACCCGGGGTTGACCCAAAATTACTTGTTTTTGGGTCAAGAATCGGGTCAATCTTTGATTTTCGGGTAAAAATGGGTCAATCTCGGGTTTTCAGGTCAAATACGAATTTTCGTGTCAATTTCGGGTCATTTTCGAGTTGCTGGGTCAACCCGAACCTATTTTTAAAATGGGTTGATTTGTTGAACCCGAACCCGACCGGTTTCGGGTCCGGGTTGACCCGAACCCGAATTTTTTCGGGTTGGGTTTTGGGTCGTGTCAAATATTGACACCCCTAGTAGTTTGCTAAGTCGGAGGGGTCTTGGATAGCCACCAGGAATCTCCCAAAGAGAAGGGACGTGGAGGAAGAGGTTTGGGAAAGGGGCGGGTAGGATTAATTAATGTTTCTAATCAAATCTGAATTTTAATTCATATTTAATTGAAATTGGAAAAGTTTCTTACTAGGATTTGAACAATAGGAAAGTATTTGAATTTCAAAAGTTAATTGAATCCAAATAAAGGTTCTTTCCTAAATGTCATTAGTTATTTTAAGAAGGCTATTAATTGGGAAATTTGAATTTGAAATTCAAATTGAAGATCATGGTGGCCGGCAACTAGGGTGGGTTTATGAGAGTAATGGTGGGTGGTTGGGAGCCGGCGGGTGGGGTGGTGGGTGGAGGATTCCGGCGGCGGTGGGATAGGGAAAAGGCCAGCGGGTGGTGGGAAAGTGAAGAAATATGGCTAGGATGAGGGTGGCCGGCGGAGGGAAGTAGAGAGGCGCGGATGGGTATGGGGAGGAGGAAGAAGAGATTGAACGAAAATAACAATAAAATAAATCACGAACCCAGCCGTCTCCAAGGTTGGTGGGTGATCCGTTTTCCCTCCCTAGGGATCTCTCCAAAGCTCTCTCTTAGAACCTCACAACTCAAAGAACACATGTGCAGGAATTTTCTTGCCATTCATTCATTAACTTCAAAAGAAGAACAATAGGGATATAAATAGCCTTGTATAAAGACTCAAGAAAAGAAAAGGACGACAATGCCCCTAGGGCTTACATACGACCTCCCTTAATAAAAGGGTAAAATGGGAAAGCAAAGAAACACATAAATACTAAAAACTACATAACATAATAAAGAAAAACAAATATATGAAATGACTCAAAAATACATAGACTCGATCGTGGTTGTAGATTGACTGCCACTCTGATATACTTTCCATGCTCTAATAGTCCCCATTATTCTCCCGAGGTGGGAGAAAACTCGACTCCGTCGAGTAAGTATCTCTGGCACTCTCGTAGATCTCCAATGCGATGGGGTCAATCTGCTGCAGCTCCTCACGATCCAACCATGTATCCTCTGACTCGGGCTTGCCTCTCCATGATCAAGTACCTCATTCCTCCACCTTCCTTTGTGGAGATGATGTCATCACTTAGAATCGAGTCCACCTTTTCTTCCATAGGTGATTTGGGAATTTTTGGTAGTGGAGGTAGGTTTGGGTTAACACATGGTGGCTCCGATTGTTTTGTCCCGATCAAAGTGCCCAGCGAGGCCTCCGGTGTGGAGTTCCCAGACAAGAAATTCCCTAAGGAGAGGTGCTAGGGATGCAAAGCTTTTGGGCTTTGAAAATATAACCATCCTCCCACAAGGCTCGTGGTGCTTGTGGACAAGTGAGAGTAGGTCTCCTTTAAGTTGGGGCATTCCAAATAATCTTTCTTTATTTGGTCAAATCACATGACTTCGGCTCTAATCTCAGTGGTAGTCATCATATGATGACTGAGAGCATCAACAGCTTTATTCTCAACTCCTATTTTATGTATAAGGGTATAAGTATACTCCTGAAGGAACTCTACCCAACGACTGTGGCGTGCATTCAACTTCTTTTGGGAGTTGATATGATGCAAAGCTTCTTGTTTGGTAACCCTAATTGTGATTCGAACCTTCCAACAGCATTTCGAGTCCTTGATGTGGATCCATTTGGACTCGGATTGAGTCGATTTTGGTGTCGTTGGGTTTGTATTTTCGAGACGCTCAGTTCGACTATAAGTTTATTGAAATCAGAGTTGAGATGGTCTCCGATTTAATTTTTGAAGTTTCCAACTTGATTTTGTTTTGAGATTCGTGTCGGGTCACCATAATATTTTGATGATATATCAGTTGCTATAATTTCTCATTGATTCATTTAAATCTATTTCAGGTTGACTACCACTATGTGAAGAATTAGTACTATTAATATCCATAGTTTTGTATGAATTTACGTCGTCGTGTCTACAAGGTCCCCTTGGACGAAGCAACCAATGGCTGTCGAGAATGATCCTTTTGTCAGGTTGGGTCGACTACCTCCTCTGACTAAGTAAACCAGGGACCACGATGGCCCGGGACGACGGAATATACCATGTGTTTAATTATTCCGGCCCAATAAAAGTAGACATAGAACTATGACAATGATTGTCAACTCAGGAACCTCCATTGATCCAATAACATGCAAAGAAATAAAAGGAAAAGAGCGAATGGTGTTTAACTATAGATCCTTAAATGACAATACTTATAAGGATCAATACTCGTTGCCTGGAATCAACACGTTGTTGAAGAAAATAGGCAACATCAAGATCTACTCAAAATTTGACCTTAAAAGTGGATTCCATCAAGTTGCCATGCATCCAGACACAATCGAATAGACCATTAATCCATCAGGGCTATACGAATGGCTAGTTATCCAATTCGGCCTAAAGAATGCACCTGCCATTTTTCAACAAAAGATGGATAATTGCTTTCAAAACTGTTCTGATTTCTTGATTGTATATATTGATG